CCCCCAGAAACCTCACATTAACTAGCAAAACATTTGAGTTATTACTGCGTACGCCAAGGAAACATTGTTTCTGCAGATTTGTAGCATAAAATTTTCAAAAGTACTTTATTTCCTCTAAAAACTGAATATGTTGGGGCCAATAGTGGTTGGCGCACTGACATATAGCACTGCGTTAAGCCTGGTTTATACTTGCGTGAAGTGATCAGCGTGACCCATGGCGCAAGCAACGCACGTAGCCGTGCACAGGGTCGGCGCGTCCATAGAGGCGATCTAGGTGGCCACCTAGGGCGGCAGTATATAGAGGGCGGCATCCGCGACACCTCCCTTACCACCCGCGTCCTCAGTTATGTCCGCGACACCTCCCTCACCACCCGCGTCCTCAGATATATTCGCGCATAGATGACAGAATAGAGAGGGCGCCGTCAGCGACACCTCCATCAGCACCCGCGTGTCCTCAGTTATATCCGCGCATAGGGCGGCAGAATAGAGAGCGCAGTGTCCGCGACACCTCCCTCCCTCAGCACCCGCGGGTCCTCAGTTATATATGCATAGTACGCTGGAAAAGAGGTCCGCGACACCTCACTTCATTTTCATAAACGATCACTTTCGTTTTCACATTGGGGTTGAGGGCGGCATGATCGTCCTCTGCCTAGAGCGGCAGTTCAGCTTGCTCCGGCCCTGGCCGTGCATTTATACTTCTGCGCGCTGTTTGTGTTGCTCTGCAATAACACTTCAGAATCGCTAGTTGGCAGTGAGGTGTTTATGTTCCTCTGTGTCCAGTTTCTTCGCTGGTGTTTTTTTCTGAACGCTTTCTTAATGTACAAGTGGCTCAAACTCGCTCATTTTGACGCAGCAATCGGTGAACATGCAACAACTTTAATCACAAAGTAAACACAAAACAACAGTCTCCATCCGGAGCTCCTTTATGGGACTCCACACTTGTAAACACTCGCTGCATCTGGCTCGCGCGGCTCTCATCTCCGCCCACACTCGTCAGCGCTACCAAGTCAGCCAATCTCAGAGCTTGTGCTAAGCATCGTTGTGACGTGTAGTTACATTTTTTTGCGAGGTGTGCGTCAGCTTTGTTGACGGCCACGGCGGTTGGCTTTGCCGGAGCCTACGCATGCACCTGATGCAGAAGTATAAATCAGCCTTGCGCCGTAGCTTACACGTGCGCTTTAACGTAGAAGTATAAATTTACTCACAGAGACCTGAGTTTGATTTCCGGCTCAGGGTTCTTTGCCTCTCCTTTCTCTCTCCTTCCCATTTTTTCCTTTCTTCACTTCACATTGTCCTCTAAAATAAAGATTAAAAACACCTAAAAAAACAATTATTAAACTAAAAACTGTTTATAAAGCTCCCCCTCCTCCTCCAAGAAAACTTTGCCGTAACGCATGTATGACTAATGTAATATTTTGTATTTTTTTGTATTGTTACTATCGTACTTTTAAGATGTTATACAAAATAAAGTTGTTCTTCTTTTTCTATTCTTTCTTTTTCACATCAACAGATGAAATAAGAGTTTGGTAAGTATTTGACTGTAATGCATGCATTTGTACATTCTGCAGGTTATAGATTAGCACTGCAAAATACAAGCTTATTAATCATGAATTAATAATACAAATGATTGTATAATAATGTACATATTAAGTCAAACTGACGGTGCACCATCATTAGCAGCAGAAACTCAATTGAAAATACTAGGGTAAAATACATTTCCAAATTTGAAAGACATGGCAGGGTAAAATTGAATTTAATGCAGTGCTTCCCGTCCCGTCTGAGACTCTCTTTTAATCGTATATCAATCCGAGAGTAATGATAGTTGATTGTCAAAGAAATCAGATCTTGAATGTGGCGATTTTGTAATGGAAATTGTTCAGTGGAAGCACCTGCTCTGGCTGACTGAAAATGAAAAGTCTGTGTGCATTTACCCCCCTGTATGCTGTTAGAAAATCTCTGCATTTAATGCCTGTTTCCTTTAACGATTTACATCATAATATTGAGGAAAAGGTCTGTTTGCTACTTTTGCTTGATCATTTTTACAATAAACTGGTATTTTAATGGAACCCATGGCTGTTTTTAAACAAAATCTGCTCAATTATTTGCATGATTTACAATTTACAATTCTGTGTTGAATTTTATAGTGTGCGATAATTTACTCTAATTAACTTTTTTTACAGTGTTTATGTGCGGCTTATTCATAAACTAATTTCGAGAGGATCACATGCTTAAAATCAACACGGCTGGCTCCTTGTTAGCTCCGTAATCAGCCCTATTAGATGATTACAGAAGCATTATAAATAACCTGAGTTTTTCACTCCAGTTATCTTCGTCTTGAAGCTCCCCCCTTTCCACCCCTTCATCCTGCTCCTTTTTCTGATCGGGCGACACGGTGGCCCAGTGGCTAGCACTGTTGCCTCACAGCAAGAACACCGCTGGTCCAATCTTTCGGGCCGGTCTGTGTTTCTGTGCGGAGTTTGCATGTTCTCCCCGTGTTTGCGTGGGTTTCCCCCGGGTTCCCCGGTTTCCTCCCACCATCCAAAAACATAAACCATAGCCAATCGACTAAAACAAATTATCACCCAATACAACCTTAGTTTACACTTCTCACGGTGACAAGCAGGGGAGTTCTCGAGACCTACCTGACCTCGAACTCCCCTCTCGCCCTTCTAACGGGAGGGTGCCCCGGGCTCGAGGATATTACGAGCTCAGGGCTCTCTCCCGGGACAGCATGCCAAATACGCTTTATTGATTATCAGCTAAGTGTGAACTCTTGAAGTACAAAATGTTTGCTCTCTTTACACAAATGTATTGGGTTCCCCTAAGAAACAACATTTCTATGCTAAATGTATATTACAGTACAAATTTTGTTCAAGTAGTGCAAAAATAATGCACTCTCAAAATAATAGCTTTATTGTTTGTGTTTGTTTGCAAATGTCTTGCTTTCTTTAGCTAATTTTATATTAATTTCAAAAACTTTCTACACTGTAAAAAATCCAACTTGACAAATGTTGAAATTGCTTGATTTTTTGAATTTGTTGGTTCAGCAAAAATCTGTAAAAAAGTCTGTACAACTACATTTAACACATTCAATCAACTTAAACAAAGATTTTATTCATTAAGTTAAAAAGATGAGTTTTGTGAGCAACACTTTGCTAGTTCATCCAAAAAAGCATCTGCCAACTTGTTTTTTTGTGTTAAGTCAATCTCTAACTTTTTTTAATGCAATGAATATACAAGTAGCATAACCTTTTGTTGATTGAAAAGGTTTCAAACATGTTAAATATTCTAAAAAAATTATCAATGGCAGTATAGAACCTTTTCCCAGAGATGGGTTGGGGCTGGAAGGGCATCCGCTGCGTAAAAACCTGCTGGATAAGTTGCCGGTTCATTCTGCTGTGGCGACCCCATAGCCACAGTATTGTGTTCCACCAAAAACCTTTGTGTTCGCCTGCAAAATATTTGCCCTTTTTTACAAAAGTATTGTAAAAATTGGCATTTAGTCAACGACTTTTGTTTTCTTTCACAAAATATGGAAAGCACTCTACTGGCAATTTTTCATATTATGTCCATGAAAAAGGATTTTAAAGGGTTTTTGTGAAAGCAAGTTATCAAAAGGGAACACAAAGGTTTTGTGAGAGAATGCAAAAGCATTGAAATATGCATTCTCATATTCATATCTCTCAGCAAATCATACATCGCTTAAAGGCTCGAAAAAAATCCTCATGTGCAGTAACACGCTATAATTTCATTAAATATAATTTCGCAACAACCCAGAAAGATGTCCAAGAAAAGATAAGAGCTTCCGACCACACAACATCAATTTAGCATCGACATGCTTCAAAGTTGATCCTTTTTCTTGGGGAGTTTCACATACAGACGGCAACAGTAACATTGATTACTCTGTCTTTTGTTTTCTGTAAAGCTCTAAAAACATTGTCTTTTTTTTACCTCAATTACAAGAAAGAAGAAGACAAAAACTAATAATGAAACAAATAATCTGTACAATATATACTTTGTATTAATCTCTAATTGTTGTACGACTGTTACATATTATGTCGTCATACAATGCTGTATGATTGTTACTCATAATAATAATAAAAAAGATATCAATATATAGGGTGGGCCATTTATATGGATACACCTTAATAAAATGGGAATGGTTGGTGATATTAACTTCCTGTTTGTGGCACATTAGTATATTATATGTGAGGGGCTTGTAAATATCTCATGTAAGAATAAAGTTGCGTTAAAATAAAGCACACCATTGTTTTTCTTGTGAAATTCCCAATAAGTTTATTAAGGTGTATTCATATAAATGGCCCACTCTGTAGTTTCTCAGTACTCAGTACTGGAAGGGCATCCGCAGTGTAAAACATGCTAAAATAGTTGGTGGTTCATTCCACTGTGGTGACCCCAGATAAATAAGCCAAAGGAAAATTAATGAATGAATGACATCAATATAGCATCATTTTTAAGAGCCTATACAGAAGTATTTACTGTTATTACACTACCGTGAGGGGCAGGTTTTAGTTTGGGTTTAGGGTAGACGTTAATAAAAGACATTGTAGGTTAATTAACAATTTAATTAATAATAATTCTCGTCATCATCAAAGCTCACAGCAAGAGGGTCGCTGGTCCGAGTCCGGGCTGGGTCAGTTGGCATTTCTGTATGGAGTTTGTATGTTCTCCCCGTGTTTGCGTGGGTTTCCTCCGGGTGCTCCGGTTACCCCCACCGTCCAAAGATATGTGGGTAAGCTAAATTGTCCGTATTGTTTGGTTTGTGTGAATGCGTGTGTATGGATGTTTCCCAGTTTTGCATTTTAGCTGGAAGGTCATCCGCTAAAATATATGCTGGATAAGTTGGCGGTTCATTCCACTGTGCGACCCCATATTAATAAAGAGCCAAAAAGAAAATGAATGAATGAACACCAAAACTGTATTCCTTCTAGAATTGGCGCGACAACCGGAACCATTGCATTCGGTTTCCACCCGGAACTGTTATTATGTGAGACGCATTAACGCTCCGCTTCTGACACTATAGTACATGCGAATAATGATCAATCTCAAACTTTCGCACACTCACCTCTCACTGGACATTTCTTTTACCTCTCATAATTTATAGGTACGTACAAAAGCGCACGACACAACTGTCACATTTATGCGTTCATCAAAAGGCGGCTCGCGGATGCTCTGCGTCTGCGCACTTTAATTCAGCGACGCTATTTAACACACAATTATAAACATGTACGCCTCATTTCAACATGCGAGTGTTTTATACATCCCGACAATGCATTTAGGATATTTTTCATAATTATGAAACACCTCAATATGCAGTCTGACGAGTTAATCTGCCGTGATTAATGAGATTAGCGGGTTTTTCCCTCTTGAACGCAGATGATGAATTTCCTCCGCAATCGGCTGGTGGTTTTGGGGCTGGTGCTGCTGGCCACGGTGCTCCTCTACCTGCTGCTGCCCTCCATGAGGCAGGGCAGTATGGAGCCCTCGCTGGAGGTGCAGCAGCGGATGGGACTGATGGCCGCGACCCCCCCTCCGCCGCCGCCGCCGTCCAGCGTCAACATCACGGTGAGGACCGGACAGCTGCCCGGTGACCCGCCGCTCTTCTTCAGGGAGGCTCTGCCCGTGGACAGCGCGGGACGACAGATTCTGCCCAGGTCTGTGTTTTATAGCTAGAGGTTTTAACAGTTATATCAATGATAGAGAGCTGTTTTGCATTTCAGTGAAAATGTACTGTTAATTCTCCCTCAGGTGCTTTTATACTTTTGAGTTTCTTGTTTTACCGTTGAACAATAAAGAAGATATTTTGAAGAATGTTAAAACAAATACTTCGGAAGTCAACGGTTTTTCAAAATATCTTCTAACAGAAGAAACTCTAAGTTTTTTTGGATCTGTGTTGTTAAACTAGGGGTGTCCAAACTCGGTCCTGGAAGGCTGGTGTCCTGCAGAGTTTAGCTACAACTTCAACACACCTGCTTGGAGGTTTCTAGTATATCTAGTTAGAGTTTGATTAGCTGGTTCAGGTGGGTTTGATTAGGGTTGGACCCTCCAGGACACCGGCCCTTCAGGACTGAGTTTGGACAGCCCTGTGTTAAACCATCGATTAGGTTCATAAAAAAACTCTTTCTAAATAACATAAAAGCAGCACCTCATGGCTTGATCCAACATTTAAAAAAATGTTTTAATAATAATGATGTAAAATTATTATTGTTATTACTATTGTTATATTGATCTAACATAAAATAAGCATTTATTATTATTATTATTATTATTGTTGTTGTTGCTGTTATTATTATTATTATTATTATTATTATTATTATTATATTGATCCAACATTTTAAAAAAATAAATATTTATTATTATTATTTTATTGATTCAACATAAAAAATAAGTATTTATTATTATTATTATTATTATTATATTAATTCAACATTTTAAAAAAATTACGTATTTATTATTATTATTATTATTATTATTATATTAATTAAACATTTTTAAAAATTACGTATTTATTATTATTATTATTAAAGTATTTATTGTTTTTATATTGATCCAACATTTAAAATAAATTAATTATTTATTATTATTATATTGTAACAATCTTTTATTTATTTCCTTTTTTTCTATTTCCTGATTTTTTTTATATTAATATACATAATAAATAATTTATTTGCCCAATGTAATTTTTCGATACTGTTGTTGAGTAAAATACAAAAATGCTATTTTCAAGGTGGGGAAAGTATATATTTTAATACAAAATTAATATTATTAATATAATCAACCAACAAGTTTGGTTTCTGACCAAGTGTATCCTGAATATTTGATTTTCAACATGAAATAATAATATAGTAATTCACATTGTTTTTGAACCCATGTATTATATTGAATATATCACACTTTGTTACCACACATTGTTAATGAAGGCTGCAGCATACTGTAATGTTAACTATAATGTACTGATTACTTGTAATCAATACTTTAGTACTTTAGTTTTTATCGTGAAAAATTGTGGTGTAAAGCGACTCTATAATTGTCAAAAAATACAGTATTAGTCATTTGCTTATTTTACTAAGCCATTGTGTTACAATAGCAACTAAGTACCACAACAAGTACTAAATACCACAACAAAGTAACTCAAGCACTTTGCTATTGTATGGTTCAAAATCACTAGTGTTTACTATAAATTATTGTAGTTTTTTTCACATGGGTTCAGTCGAGAATTTTCATTCCTATACATCTCAGGAAAACACCCAGAAATCAACATCTACAGGAAGCTGTTACTTAAATGATATTTTTCGCAGCATTGATTACTGTTAGGTCCAAATTTAACATGAATGTGGTAACACACACACACACACACACACACACAAATCGGATCAAGTGGATTCCTATTGGAATGACGGAAATTTAAAAAAAGTTTCCCAATGAAACAGTAAATGCATGTTTAAAATTGGCCTGAAATGGAAACTCAGATATACATCCTAATATTAAGGACAATATCTGTGCTGTGGTATTTTAATGGAACCCATGGCCATTTTTAAACTTGCCAAAATCAACAATATGACAGAGTTTTGTGGTGTCTTTCAGTATAGGTCATATCATTTACACATGATACCTTGTCTCCATCAGGTTGCAGATGGTGCTTCTTCATGGTCAGGCCTTCACCTCTAAGACCTGGGAAGAGTTGGGGACTCTCAGTCTTCTGGCCTCCAGCGGATACCAGGCCCTCGCTCTTGACCTGCCCGGTATGACCCCTAAAGCTCTGATTGTAAAATCGTTCTAAATGTAAAACACATACTTTTGCAGTGCATTGCTTTAAATTTTGAGACGATCGTTTGTATCTGGTTACAGTCACCAAAACCAGAAGAAAATTCTGTCATTATTTACACATTGAGTTGTTTCTAAACAGTTGAACACAAAAGAAGATATTTTGAAGAATGTTGAAAACCGGTAACCATTGACTTCCATTGTATTTGTTTTTACGAGTATGTAAGTCAGTGGTTACAGGTTTTCAACATTCAACAAAAAAAACCCTCAAACTTGTTTGGAAGACATCAAGGGTGAGTAAATGATGGCAGAATTGTGAACTATCCCTTTAAATGTGAATCATTTAATAAAATTTAAGAACTAATCAAAAGTGAATCTTAAAAGCTGTTTTAGATTTTTTTTTTAATTTGATGTATTTTATCTGTCATTGTTGATGTCTTTTTATTGTTGTGGAAATCATTTTAATTGGTTTTGCCATGAAGTAGGCATTAAAGCTAATATGGCAATAAACTCTAAACTCTCCTTTTCTCTTATAGAGCTCTGTAAACGTATAAAGGTCTGACTACACTTCCTTTTCCACAATTTTGCTCATCTATGCCCTCAAAGGCTTTCATAAACACAGTAGTTTGTAGAGCAAGTAGTTTCACCATTTATTTTTCATTTACCCAATGCAGTAGATAAAACTGAAACATTAGCATAATAGAGTGCGCTTTGCATTGCAAAATAAAGTTACTATTTAGGGCTTAATTCGTGTAATAATGAGAATTTAGTCCAAAATAAAAATGTAGTCATCCTCAAGTGGCTACGAACAGGTGATTCCACAACCGAAGATATTTTGAAGTGTCTTGGAAACTGGCAGCCATTGACATTTATAGTAGAGTAAAAAATATAATACTGTGTAAGGCTGAACAATATATCATTTAAGCATTGTTATCGCAATGTGTGTATCCACAATAGTCACATCACTAGATAATGCGACAATAAAAAGAAAAAGAGATTAAATATATATACATTTTTTTATATTAATTATACAATGATGACCATAAGCGGTTCATTCCACTGTGGCAACCCCTTATAAATAAGGGACTAAGCTGAAAGGAAATGAATGAATGAATGATGACCTTTTTTTTTATATTTAGTTATTCAATTTCTGTTCTTGAATATTTTCAAGATCTCAGAAAACCCAAAAGCGCTGTTTATTTAACTTATATTTTTGCTCTGTTGTATTTATATATGCTTGTAGTTTATTATATTTTATGCAGACTGCATAGACGAAGCCTTGATCATTCCAGTTGATCTAAATGAATGAAATCTTTCTAAATAGAGCTATTCAAATAACCCACACAATATTATTTACATATCGCAATATATATTGCAGCAAAGCAAAACATCGCAATGTCAGATTTTTCCAACATCGTGCGGCTCTAATACTGTGGCAGTCAATGTCAGCATTTTACTATATCATCTCTTATGTTCAACAAAAGAATAGTATTAGCAGTGTTCCCACTGAACATTTTAAAAAGAGTAAATGCACTTTAAATACCAGGATGATGCACTTATTCCACCGTTAAAATAAGTGTGTAATGTGTGACACTTTATGCACTCCACTGCCACAGTTTTGCTTGCGTAGTGGATTTTTATTCTCTTATTTAATCCTCTCATATAAGTGGTTATGACACTTCCCGATAGTCCTGATTGTACTCATGACAGCTACAACCCCAAATCAGAAAAAGTTGGGACAGGATGGAAAACGCAAATAAAAAAAGAAAGTAGCTATTTTATTATTATTATTATTATTTTTAAATGTTTTTATTTTTCAGGGTTTTCACCTTTTTTAGATAGGACAGTAGAGACAACTGACAGGAAAGCATGGGGAGCAGAAAGAGGGTAAGGATTGGCATAGGACCGCGGAATCAAACTCGGGTCACCGTAAATACTGGAGTGCATGTGTCGACGCACTAACCTTTACATCACTGGCACCGACCAGTTATTTTATTATTTAAACATTATTCAATGCGTTCCTCGTTGAATGTGCGTTTTGCATGTATTCCAATTTTGGTTCTTGCAACACAATAAAAAAAGTTGTAACGGTAAATTATTTAGTATTGTGTAATGTCGCAATTTCTTTTCACAGCACTTAAAAGACGTTTAGGGATTGAAGACATCAAGTTATGAAGAGTTTCAGGTGTAATTAAGTCCCATTCTTCCTCCCTGCAAACCAGTTTTATGGTGGGCAACAGTAGGGGCTCTTCATTGTCGCATTTTGCTCTAAAATGCACTATACATTCTCTATTGGAGACAGGTCGGGACTGCAGACAGGCCAGTCGAATATTTGTATCCTCTTCCTCCACAGCCAGCACTCTGTTTTCCATACTGTCCAAACTTTTTAGATTTGGGGTTGTACAATTTGGTAGTTTTTTTATTTATATATACCATTAAACGTTGCCTGAGAAACAGTTAGTAAAAATACATTCGTTTTCCACTTGGGACAACACTAAATTCCACACTACGTGGTTGAGTGAATAGTGTAAAAGTCATTGTGCATAGTGTGTCATTTGGGACACAGCTACTGTGTGAATGCATTTTTGGTGAACTATCTGTTAATATCCTTGATATCAGTGATTTATTAAGCATGTCTAATGCAGATAACCGAACCTCCTCACTCCTTCTCAGGTTACGGGAATTCTCCGGACTCGGAGTCTGTGAAGTCGGATCAGTCTCGTGTGGATCTTCTGAAGCGTTTTCTGGAGGCTCTGGGCGTCCGAGCACCCGTGTTACTGAGCCCGTCGATGAGCGGTCACTACGCCCTGCCGTTCCTCCAGAGACACAGCGCACAGTTACATGGATTTGTTCCCATTGCGCCGGTGGGCACCCGAGGCATCACCCCACAGCAGTACCATGACATACAGGTGCCGTGTTTGCTTTAAATCACAGATGTCACGCAAAAAGTGATAATTCATCCAAAAATGAAAATTCTGTAATCATTAGCTCATTTAACACATACAGACCTTTCCGGAAAATTACCAGAAAGGCCTGTATGTGTGAACAGGCCCTTTTTGAAAATACCGGTAAATCTGTAAAAGCAGTGGACAAAACAGTCACTTTTTGTAAACTTTGTTCAGTCTGTGTGCTTTATGTTCAATCGTTCATGCCGATATTACCTAGGGTACCAGACACGCACACTGCAGCTGCTCTTTTTTTATTAAATTAAACTTATTTTGTTACTTAAACATTGAAGCTCAAGGCACCTGACTTGACAAGCATTCAGTCAGTTATGCCTTAGAAGGTAAACTTTGGAGAAATTGTGTTGTCTGTAAAAGAAAGTGTTTAGTGGATTGTCTGAAATTAAAAACACATTTTAGATTCCTGAAAAACCTGATTAGCAGTTTATGAAATTACTATCTTTGTTGTATTGTATTTATATGTGCTTTGGCTTCTAGACTGTTTTTTTGTTTTCGTTGTTTTTATCTGACAGTTCTATTTTATATTTCTGCATATCATATTTAATATTTTTGCATACCAAAAAGGCGACCTTAATACTGCAATACAAACTGAATCATGAGCTATATTTACCATTGCACCACTATATCAGTCATCTCATATCCTCAGAATGTTATGTATCACAGTAGAATACCCATCAATCGATTAAAGGTTTAAAAATATTGACCGCAAGCAAAGGATATCTTTTTTACATAATCACGCATATACTCAATCATATACAATTATTTTTCTCACTATATTTAAAACTTCAGGGCAATTTTTTAAGAATGTAGTAATGTTTTCAAAAACTAACAATCACACAACCAAACAAAAATATTTCTAAATAAAATCCGAAATGTAAACAAGCTGGCAACTTTCTCACCATGCTGTTGTTTACGTTTCCACCTGTATCCCCGTGGTGACATGTTAGATCATCCAAAAGATGAAAGTACTACCGCAAACGACTGCAAATACCAATATACAGACTTTAAAACACTCCAGAGTCTGTGTATCAGTGTTTACACTGAGTGAAGAGTGGTGAACCAAGCCAATCAGTCGTTTCTGTTGAGCATGTGAACACAATGACCAATCAATAGTGTTGTACATGCTCAACAGTGTTTACATGTTAGCGGAAATGGACTATTAAAATTACAATTTCAGTACTGATTTGTGCCAAATCGATGCTTTTGACAACCCTAATCAGAGTTGTATATGCAGTGTGCAAAATTTCATTCAGAAAATAGACGTTGTTTTAAATTTCAGTACCGGTTTGTATCGAACTCGATACTCTTGACAACCCTAACTAGAGCTTTATATGCAGTGTGCAAAATTTCATTCAAAAAATGGGCATTGTTTTAAATTTCAGTAGCGATTTGTACCGAACTCGATACTTTTGACAACCCTAACCAGAATTATATATGCAGTGTGCAAAATTTAAATTTCAGTACCGAATTTTACCAAACTCGATACTTTTGACAACCCTAACCAGAGGTGTATTCGCAGTGTGAAAATTTTAATTCAGAAAATAGACGTTGTTTTAAATTTCAGTACCGATTTGTATCGAACTTGATACTCTTAACAATACTAACTAGAGCTGTATATGCAGTATGCAAAATTTTATTCAGAAAATGGACATTGTTTTAAATTTCAGTAGCGAATTGTAACGAAATTGATACTTTTGACAACCCTAACCAGAGCTGTATATGCAGTGTGCAAACTTTCATTCAGTAAATGGACGCTGTTTTAAATTTCAGGACCGATTGGTGCCAAACTCGATACTTTTGACAACCCTAACCAGAAATGTATACGCAGTGTACAAATTTTCATTCAGAAAATGTATATTGTTTTAAATTTCGGTACCGTTTGGTACCAAACTCGATACTTTTGACAACCTTATCCAGAATTGTTACCACCAGTAACAAGGTTTAAATTCTCACTTTTTGCTTGTTTGGCAGACTCCTACACTGATCATATATGGGGAACTAGACACCAACCTGGGTGCCCAGTCTCATAAGAACCTGATCCAGCTGCCCAATCACACCGTGGTGAAGCTAGCAGGAGCGCGACATGCCTGTTACATGGACAAACCCCGCGAGTTTCACCGTGCCCTGCTCGACTTCCTCAGTAAACTCGACTGACGCGACGGCACAGCATAAAGCTTGTGTGGAAATGACTTTGGAAGAGACTACGAGAAGAAAAAGAGAGGTACAAGTAAACAAAAAAAAAGTTGAACAGGACTGCAGCGTAGCCGAAAGAAAACTGTCCTGAAACCTAACAACACTGAGCTTTCAATCGACCATCCACATCAGCTCACTTGTTATTATTTCCCCGCGTGCACCATCATGAGACTTTATAAAATATCGAACAAATGCAAAATTATTATAGTACAGATTCCTTTGTAGATTCTATGCTGTTCCTAAGGATGATTCCGGAACACTTTAAATATCATTCTCTAACAAATCTGAGGGATGTTGTTAAAATGCTATTATTAAAAACTGTGAACATTCAGAAGTTATATTGGGCGAGTTCTTAATGGTGTTTTTGCACCATTGAAAGGCCCTTTGGGATTAGTGCGCCATTTGTAGGGGCTGATTTTCTCTTCATGAAGGGCCCTTTCAGAAGTTTGTTAGCCAAGGGTACATGCGATGGTCATTTTTGAGGTCTGGAGTTTGTCGTTAATGGGCATGTGGGATGTTGTTTTATATATTACACTTATTTTCATTTTGCGTTTCTTCATATGAATTTTATATTTCATAGGACGTTGCATAGGTAAGAAATGTGTTTGGTGATAGATAATATGTTAGGGGAAAATAGACTTAATAATGGGATTAAAGGAATAGTTCACCCAAAAATGATAATGTGTCCTAATTTCATCACTCGTTTATGTTTGAGTTTCCACATTGACCTTCATAGTATTTTTTGTTTCTACTATGGATTTCAATGGTTACTGGTTTCTAACATTCTTTAAAATATCTTCTTTTGTGTTTAACAGAAAAAAATGAAACTCAAAGTTCTTGAACCACTTGAGGGTGTGTAAATAATAAGTGAATTTTCATTTTTGGGTGAGCTATCACTTTAAGTTCTGGGAGGGACCTCGCACAAATACATAAAGCATATTTTAATATAGAATGTGAATTTTTTTCAACAATAATGAACAGCAATAATGAGATATTCTTAGTATTGCTGTATTGCGTCGTGTTAACGTTTCAGGAGAAAATAAATTGGAAATTGTATATTGTTCACTTCGACAAGTGTGGTCCAAAATTCACCATTTAAAAAATGCAAGCGCCCTGCTCCTTCTTAAATACCTACTTTAAAGGAACACTTTTTTTGTAAACAAGCTAATTTTACAACCTCCCTAGTACTAAATAGTTGAGTTTTATCATTTTTTGAATCTATTCAGCTAATCTCCGGCTCTGGCGGGAACACTGTTAGCTTAGCTTAGCATAGATCATTGAATTAGATTAGACCATTAGCATTTAACTCAAAAATTGTCAAAACGTTTAGATAATTTTCCTATATAAAGCTTGACTCTTCTGTTGTTACACCTTGTACTAAGACTGGCAGAAAAAACGATTGCTATTTTCTTAGTTGATATGGCTAGGAACTATACTCTTATTTTGGCGTAATAATCGTGGACCTTTTTTAATCATCTCATTTTTTGAATGAGATGCTAATGGTGTAATCCGATTCAATGATCTATGCTAAGCTACGCTAAAGTGCTCAGAGATCACATTATAAAAGTGACCACATCATAAAAACAGTTATTAATATCTATTAAAGTTGGCACAGCATCATCTTTCTGGAAATTTAGCGTCAAACGGCGCCTTGTTTATAAACGAGTTGGATTGGATTAGACCATTAGCATTTCACTCAAAAAGTGGCAAAAAATTTTTGATAATTTTCCCATATAAAACTTGCCTCGTCTTTAGTTACACCTTGTACTTAGATTGGCAGAAAATGAAACGATTGCTATTTTCTTGGTTGATATGGCTAGGAACTATACTCTCATTCTAGTGTAATATTCAAGGAGCTTTGCTGCTGTTCCATGGCTGCAGTAGGGACAATGATATTAACTTTAAATTATCGAAACTCTTTTATAACTTTTGAATAAGATGCTAATGGTCTAATTTGATTCAATGAACTATGCTAAGCTAAGCTAAAGTTCTCTGAGATCACATTATAAAAGTGACCACATCATAAAAACAGTTATTAATATCTATTAAAGCTGGCACAGCATCATCTTTCTGGAAAATCAGCGTCAAAATGTGCCTCATTTATAAACAAGTTGGATTGGATTTGACCGTCAGCAATTTACTCAGAAATTGCCAAAACGTTTCAATAATGTTCCTATATAAAGCTTGACTCTTCTGTAGTTACACCTTGTACTAAGACTGGCAGAAAATTAATGTTGCTATTTTCTAGGCTGATATGGCTAGGAAATATACTCTAATTTTGGCGTAATAATCAAGGAACTTTACTGCCGTTCAATGGCTGCAAAAGGGGCAATGATATTTACTTCAGAAGGGTCAAGCTTTAAATGTAAGAATTATCAAAACTCTGGTCGTTTAAGCAAGATGCTAATGGTCTAATCTGATTTAATGATCTATGCTAAGCTAAGCTAAAAGTGCTCCCGCCAAATCCAGAGATCACATAATAAAAGTGACCACATGATAAAAACAGTTATCAATAATCAACATAGTCGCCACAGCATCATGTTTCTGTAAATTTAGCATCAAAATGTGCCTTGTTTGTAAACAAATTCATGGAAAAAACTAGGGGCCTAGTTCTTACTGACAAGTTAACTCCTTAATAATGCTGAGATCAGAAGAAAGTCAATAGCTGACTGTATTGTTTTTATTCATTATCGTTTGGGTTCAACATAGTCCTCCATTTTTGTTCTCACCTAATTTACCTGCTACACATTGGTGGATGGAGCTAAACCGGCATGTTTTGAGTTATAAAACCTACAAGATGATTTTATAGCACAATGACCTCATAATCTTATAGGTCAAAAGACAAAGCAAATATTGATTTTACACTACATGACCACTTTAAAAGTATCGTTCACCCAAAAACCAAAAGAAGTCATGTTTTAAACCCTTTTGATTGTCTTTGCACACAAATTTGGAAGCTTTCTTGTCTCATTGACTTCCATAGAAATTTGTTTTGCTACTATGGATATCAATGGGTGCCATCAACCAGCTTTTTTCAAAATAACTTCTCTCCTGTTCAGCAGAAGAAAGTATCTCAAAGGGTTAAAACCACATGAGGGAGAGTAAACAATGAGCTTATTTTCATTTTTGTTTTTTGGGTGAACTGTGCCTTTAACATTTGGTTGATCTTGCTCCAATAACATGGCTGCCATTTTTCCAGATCTGCAATTGTTCTTATGGCTTAGCTGGGATGTTTTTTTGGAACAGACCTGCCATGGTTTTCCAGGCTGAGGTGTGTTACTGTAAATCCATTTTCCGTTATTTTTCCGTTGTATCAGTGTCACAATTGTTATGGTTGTGTTTTCTTATAGCCAGGTAGCCATGTTTATTATAGTCTTGGGTTGTTCATATAACAGGGATCCCATTGTTTCCAGTCTGATTATTGTTCTTATAACACTATTGCAGTGGTTTTTCTGTTACAGCAAGAGTCATGTAAAGGCAAAATCAACATTGTTAAAGAAATCTTTTTTTTTTTTTTTTTTTTTTTTAGAAATAGGCTAATTTTACTACTTCCCTAGAGTTAAACAGTTGAGTTTTACTATTTTTGAATCCGTTCAGCCAATCTCTAATTTTGGCAGGGGCACTTTTAGCTTAGCTTAGTATAATCATTGAATAGTTTTAGACCATTAGCATCTCAGTTAAAAATGACCAAAGATTTTTGATAATTTATTTATTCAAAGCTTGACTCTTTTGTAGTAGCGTTGTGCTTTAAGACGAACAGAAAGGCAAAGTTCTTTGATTATTACGCCAGGATGAAAGTATAGTTCCTATAGGCTTTGAAAATAACAACATTTCATTCTTCATCAGTTTTAATACATAATGTTTATTCATTTTTGAGTGAGATGCTAATGGTCTAGTCTGATTCAATGATTTATGCTAAGCTAAGCTAATCTAAATGTGCTCCCGTCAAACCCAGAAATCGACTGAATGGATTAAAAATCATAAAACTCAACTGTTTACCTCCAGATTTAAGAGTTGTAAAATGACACTATCCGTTAAAGAAGTGAAGTATTCCTTTATAATTTTTCTAAATCTTCAATGTCGAAGGTTTTTGGTGAATAATCAAAGTCACTAATCCTGCAAGAATTTATTAGACACACTACGAGAGAGTATTTCTTGTCTTCTGTCTATATCTCTTTGAGTGAAATGGTTAACACCAGCAGTTAGCACACATGTATAACTGTGAATAGCATGTCAATGTGTGAATGACTCAACATATGGTTTGGGAGCTCCGAAGGATTGTAATATTGGACGTTTATCATTCATTATCAGTAGTTCTCAGATTCGTATGGGCTGTAGATTATTCCTCAGAATAAACAGAACATTTCCAGAGGCTGCGGAGGAAGAAAAAAAATAAGTGTTCATTAAAAGATGCTGGTATTAAATTACCTCACCTAAAAATGTAGGTGTTCATCACATATTTATTATTTATTGCCTAAAGCTTTTCTACATGACAGAGACTGTAATGTTTGTGGTATTTCTGTGCTGTGGTCTTTTCTTTATAGCTTGTAGATATGAGTCTGTTGTTGAGGACAGTGCGGCACCTCTGACCTGTGAATATTTCCAGATCTTCAGCCTGAGGACATTCGTCATTGGGACTGAATTCAGATTCGGTGTGCATGGTACCGCAGAGACATGAAACATGCTTTTGTTCAATGCTTAATAAAGGTCGTTCAGATTAATTGTGTTTGTTGGTTAATAGACGTGTGCCCTACAGGGTTCCTCTATCCTCTGTAATGTGGACAAAACAGACCATTTTGTGTGAATGTATAAAATAGATTATTGTTAGTCTAATTATTGGAGATAAGAACAGGTCTGGCTTTAAGGCTGTTATTGTTAAAGTAAAAAGTACAATTTCAAGTGGAGAAAATTTGTTTTTACTTCCTTTGTAAGAGGCTGAAGGTTCAAAAGTGGTCTGAAATAAATCAAAGTAAATAAATTCATATTAAGACATGCACAATTAATGTCTGCTCTGATATGATACATAAAAAAAAAGAAAAATATTTGTATAAAATAAGAAAGATGCCATGCATGGTTATATTTATTTAACACATTCATGTCTTTAGTTATAACTTCAGTAGAGCTTTGAAATCAATATTTAGTGAAAAAAGCAACAAGTTTAAAGCAAAAAAAAATTTTAAGCAAAAACAATTATTAGAAATTTGGCAGATTTTAACATTTTTACTCAAACCCATATCTAATAATTCAGTGTCAAAATACAATTAAATTTAAAAATATATACACATGACTTGATTATTATAGTAATATTTTGACCTGGTTAGCTTCCTTATTTACTGACAAATACATATTTAATGGCTGCCATCTCCCCATCTGTTGCTGCAATGATTGTAATTGATTTAGTTTAAATTACAATTCTGCAGAATTGAGAAATCTTCATTACCTGTTTTTCTGTTTTTACACATACCCTTGCAATAACAAGCTTTACTATAATGTTTGCATTAATATTCCGTGGTAAAATGAAACAGAAATAACTGAATGTTCTGTGTAAAACTTCATTTCGCATTGACCACTTATTATTACTTGCTTAATATTTACTTTTCAACTAAAAACGTAAAGAATGTGATTACTGATTATTGTAAATTTTTAGGTAATTAGTGTGTGTTTCTTTGTCAATTGTAAATGCGTAAGAAACAGTTATTTAAAAAAAAAAAAGTAAAAATTCCCAAAATTCCACAAAAGGCATAATTATTTGTGCCGTACAATGGCAATCCATCACTATTCACGCATTTTCATCAACTGTGTGTATATTTTACCCATGTGAATACTTAATTAGGCGTTAGGTGTGAACCCAGAAAACTTTGTATAAGCCTTAAATAATTTTCTTTTTTGCTAAAATGATATAATACAAAGTTTTATAAATGTACGTAATTATATAAAATATTGCATCAAAAGGATCTATTTCAGTTTTCTATTGTTAGTGAAAAATAAATTAACAAAATTAAAATAGGGTCCTGTCCAAAAGATGGCTGCTTGTGTTTAGGAAATTTTTACTTTCATCATGGCAAAGATAAAATAAATCAGTTATTAGAAATGAGTTATTTAAACTATTGTTTAGAAATGTGCTAAAAATTATTCTCTCCATTAAACAGAAATTGGGGGAAAACAAACGTGGACTAATAATTCAGGGGGTTTAATAAGTCTGACTTCAACTGTATATAATAATTTTTTAATGCAAATTTAAAAATTTTATTCATTCATTTTTCTGCTTAGTCCCTTTATTAATCTTGGGGTCAACACAGCAAAAAGAACTGCCAACTTATCCAACATATGTTTTACGTAGCTGATGCCCTTCCAGTCGCAACAGATTAGAAATTTAACAATCTTTAAACACTTCACAGGGGCCATATGAACAACATCTCGGAAAGAAATAAAAGTCTATCACAAATTATCATAAAGACAAGCTAAATTATTTTTTTGAAATGTAGGCTATACCGTAAATTTTAAAATGTTAAATGTTTCAGAAGCTTGTTAGCGCTAAGGTTTGAACATAGTAGAGCAAAGTAAATTGAGAAGGGGTGACGAGGTGGCTCAGTGGTTAGCACTGTCGCCTCACAGCAAGAAGGTCATTGGTTTGAGTCCCGGCTGGGTCAGTTGCCATTTCTGTGTGGAGTTTGCATGTTCTCCCCGTGTTGGCGTGGGTTTGCTCCGGGTGCTCCGAATTCCAAAGACATGCGGTACAGGTGAATTGAATAAGCTAAATTGTCCCTAGTGAATGAGAGTGTATGGGTATTTCCAAAACTGGGTTGCAGCTGGAATGGCATCCGCTGTGTAAAACGTGCTGAATAAGTTGGCGGTTTATTCCACTGTGGCGACAAGCTGAAGGAAAATGAATAAATGAATGAATGAATGAATGAAGCAAACTGAGAACATTTCTTTTAACAATGAATAGTACATGGTGACATTTAGGTTATTTAGATAAATTAGGATGATAATCTAAAACAAACAAAATAGGTACTGGGTATTTTATTTTATTTTAAATAGAGCAACTTGAAATAAACCGCCTTTAAAAGCAAAACGACTTTTTTTCATAGTTTTCCTGTTTTGACCACGTGTGCGCGCGCTGTGCGAGGGCGTGGCCAAGCGGCAATCGAATGATTCCTACGTCATCGCGCACACCATGCGTCTCTCCTCGGGAAGATGGCTGCTGTGTACATGATGCGAAACTGAATGGACGCAAAACAGCCCGAAATTGTTGAAATTCACCCCTTTTTCCCCTCCTCGGTCGCCCGCTCCTCATCCACACACATGCGTTTACGGTAAACTGCGGCCGTTTTCAACCTAGTGCGGAGAACTAGGATGATAATATGACCCAGAAAAAGAAGAAGCGAGTGAATCGCAGTTTGTTGCTGGCGAAGAAAATCATCATCAAGGATGGAGGAACGGTGAGTTTTAGCCACAACAAACACTCACAAACACCCAAAAGACAAAGGTTTAAGCCTTAAATAGTCATATTCATAATTTGTATGTTAGTATGTGACTCTCAATGGAGTGTAATCTGTCTGTCGTGGCTGTAAACATCAACGTTTACTTCCCGTAAGCGTCAATAAATCACATCAGGGCACGTAAATCTGAAGATTAACCTTTTAGATGATTATATAAGAGATTTTTATTGCTTTGACGACACATTATGAGGGTTTAAAAATGCCCAGTTCATCTGTCATTATTATTAAGTGTGGCAGTAATTATTATAATTTGTTCTATTTTTAGTTATGTGAATCAAGCATATAGGAAAGGCTTAAATTGTTTTAAAATTATTTTTTAGTTGACTATATAGTCATACATACAAACATATACTCTATACTCCGTACGAAAAAAATGTTTTGTAAATATTAACTTTCATTTAGGATGTGATTAATCGTTTAACTAATAAAATCATAACATAATCGCAGAACCAATTTTGCTTTTTTGATATTTGATACAAACAAAAGTGTTTCTAGAAATTGTATATTTTTTTAGTTTAGAAGGTTTAGTTTCACTTCTGTTATTTAAAATGAGTAATACGATATATGATTGTGGTAGTCTGTTAGTATTATGAAATCAAAGTGCAGTGTTGATTTCATCTGTGGTAACTTACCGCCTCAGTGTTAATGTGATCTGCATCTTTGTAATTTAATATTGAGCCTGTCGGATGCTTAATGTTATATTGAATTATAATGAATATATTGAATGCCCTTCAGGATGTTCTTTTGCTCATATTTTTACACTTACAACATTTATTTTTATTACACTTATTACAGACTTTTAGATTTTCATGTTTTATTTTAGTTTGGTTTTAATCCTAATTATAAAATCCATACTTTTGCACTTACCTTTCCCTGTTTTTAATATATATATATGTATATATATATATATTTGTATAAACTTTGAAAGGCTTAGTTTTAAATATGGATCCAGTTAAAAATATATATGAGCAATTCCATGCTAATGTCAACCTTGCCATGAAAAAATTAGGTTTTCATCAAAGTTTGGAAACCTTTTGTAAGTTTTTTGTGTAAGCAAGTATTTTACAGTATTTTAGAAAAACTCAAAAATGTTTCCGTCAATGTTTTCAAACTATTATATTTGATTTACCAAACAGGCTTCAACGCTAAGCATTTTTTTCTACTTGCCTGATCGGACCAGTGGTTCAGATTTTTACTTGCCCTGCCAATATTTTCACTGGCCCTACCAAAAAAAGTTAATAGCTATTTCTTAGCCACAAATACAAAAATAAATAAATGTGTCAAAATGTTTGTAAATCTAGAATTTAAATATTTAAAAAATCTTACTAAATGTATAATAAGTAAAATTCAAAGTGTTTAGCAAACAAAAGTAGCAAAATGTGCAGGTATTTTATTGCAAAACAAAAGATGGCTGACCTGCCCAAACTGACGGCAAACTGTACACAACATTACTTCATGTTTTAGTCATGGTGTAGTGTACCCTCGTAAATGTCAGCTTCCAAGACATTAAAAACAAATGATTTCCTTTAGCATCATCACTTGATGTTGCCGCCATGTTGCTGTCTCTTCGCTGTACTGGTTGTTGCGGAAAAAAATAACATTCTCACAACATCCAATCAGATAAGAGGAACTGAGAAGGTAGCATTTGAAGGCTTAAAAACACAAACTGTTTCTCAATTCTGATTGTTTTTGCATGCAATTGACAGATAGTCACAGGCAAATTAAACTTTAGTGACAGCGCATTAGTGGCCTGATCGGGCCAGGAACGATCCTGTCTACTGTCACGAGCATCTCACTGCTGGTCCCGGGCCATCGGGCAGTCCTTATTGTTGAGCCCTGCCAAAGTTGCACAAGTGACAATTTCTTGTCACATCCATAACAACACTTTCCTCATAAATGCAAAAATAAAATAAAATCAATAATTTTTGTTCTAGACAGCCGACTTATCCTTTTGATTATCATAATTTCTTTTGGGTTGTGCAGTATAATTCACAGAATTTCCACAAAGCATGTTGTATGCTCTAAACTCGCACATTTTTTGGACACATCTATAACGCATGTTTATTTTTCTCATCTAAAGTACAAAACATGTTTACAGATTGATGTTTTCCCATAACTCTGTGGTCAGTTGTTCTGGAATATGTAAACCGATGTTTCTATATAATGTTAACATATACTTCTACGTGAATAAATGTTTTGAGTTTTTACTGCAAATGTCACATCCATAACGCTGCAATTGCTCATATAGAGTTTCTGTCAATGACTCTATCAAAATTAAATTGTAAAACTTTTATTTAGTATTTTAGATTTATTATTATTGTTGTTGTTTCAATATTGTATTATCTTTTTATTTTGATAAATCTTTATATTGTGAATGTGTTTTTTATAAACGCTGTTTAATTTTAGTTTTAGTTTTATTACAGTTACCCCCCCCCCCCCCCCCCAAAAACGCCTACATTATGCTGTTATTTGTTTAAATTTGTCATTTTTGTTGCCATCTCTTAACTTTTATTATTATTGTTATTTTTTTATTTGATACAATTCCGTTCTTTATTCATTCATTTTATTTTCGGCTTAGTCCCTTTATTAATCAGGGGCCACCACAGTGGAATGAACCACCAACTTATCCAGAATATATTTTAAGCAGCGGATGCCCTTCCAGCCGCAACCCAACACTGGGAAACAATTCTATTCTTAGTTTTACTAAATTTAGTACTTTAAATTTAGTAGTTTTAAATTAAATGTATTAAAAATTATGACTGTTTAAAAATTTAGGTTTAAGTAATTGGTATAGGTGTATGATTTCTAAATACATTTTTAATCTTTATTTTTAGCTTAGTGTTATTTAAATATAAAGTAGTAGTTGACGTTCCTCATCTTAAGCTTATTTTATTTCAGTAAAGTCAGCAATTCAGGTTTCAAGTCAAAGACCAAAAAAAATTACAATTAACAGCACAATTAGACTAAACATTTTTCCACAAAAAAAAAAAAATCTGTGTTTTTCTGCTTAGCAAACGAACAGATGCATGCGTCATATTGCATAATGGTCTCGCTTATACACTAGTTTGATAGATTAGGCCACAAACAGTGCTAATGTGTAACCAAAACCAAACCTCAGCTCTAATGATGTGCATTAATGCTGCCCTTATTTTCTCCTGATGGTGTACATCTCTGTTTTTTCTCTCTCCAGCCTCAAGGCTTTGGTTCCCCCAGTGTTTATCACGCCGTTATCGTCATATTTCTGGAGTTCTTCGCTTGGGGTTTGCTCACAGCGCCGACTTTGGGGGTAAGGTGTACTATTGCAGGCAAAAAAAGCAGTATCTGTTAACTTGAGGCTTTTCATTTCAGTCTAATGTAAAGAAAGCATTCAAAATACACGTTTTAAAGGAGTTTTTGCAGCACAGTAGATTCAAACAACAGTTTTTAAATCTATATTCTGATGGTTTATACAGAGGCATTTACATACAGCTTTTTTATTCTACAGCAAATTGTGAACATTTATTTATTTTTTGGCTGCCAATTTTCTTTTATATAAATAAAGTCTTTGCTTGACCTAAAGATGCAGTCATTAATCATCAACCGAAATCAAAATATCAGTAAAAAGTCAAGTCAAAGTCAGCTTTATTGTCAATTTAACCTAATATGCAGGACATACAGAGAAAGGAAACTGCGTTACTCTCAGACCCTAGGTGCCTTACAGATAATACTAATACAAAAACTAGAATTTAAAAAAGAAATGACAATAAATACAATCACACATGTAATATAATCTAAATAAATAAGTAAAAATAAGATTGTAAACAATACAATTACACTTAAGGGCACATGGCAAGGAGTTCAAACTAGTGTCGTGCAAAACATACAGTATAATGCAAACAGTATATAGTGCAAAAAGCTTGTAAATATAAAGTGTCAGTGTCTTAATAATATATAGACATAATACAAAATGATAATACAGTGGTGGCAGCAAGCAGGTGAAGTAGTCCAACCAGTGGAAATAATACATGATTTTGGCCCTAGGAGAAATGGTCGTGCCCAACTGAGTCTGGTTTCTCGAGTTTTTTTTTCTCCTTCACTTTCGTCAATTGGTAAAGTTTTTTTCTCATCGCTGTCGCCACTGGCTTGCATGGTTTGGGACTTGTACATCAATGGATTCCTCGTCAGTGTTTGGACTTTCAGCAGTGAATATTTAACCACACTGAACTGAACTGAACTTCAACACTGTAAACTGGACCGACATAGTTTCAATCTACTATAATCTTCTATTGACCTTATTCTAAAATGCGGAAGTGCGCCTGTTTTCGCGATTGTCTTAGAACTTCCGATTCTGTCGCCTATGGGAGAAATGACAAGGAATAATAAACGGCAGAAAATGGTCAAACTACTTGCTCAACAAACAAATGTTTGCATGACTACACAAACCAAGTAGCATAATATAATAAGAAAATATTAAATTGCAACATCAAGCAGCGTAACGAGCAGTTGTTAACGTCAAAAAATGAATGGAAGTGAATGTGACCGGAAGTCGCGAGACAAAAAGATTCAAATAGCGCAGCGCCCACTCGTCAGCTGAGAATAAGGTGAATATTAAGCTGCTTTGACACAATCTGCATTGTAAAAGCGCTATAGAAATAAAGATGAACAGTATTTAATAATTTGTTGTCATTAAGATAACAGCCTAAATTTGTTATTGGATCTACTACAAAACCATTAAAAATAGCATTTATCGACATTGCCATTATTTGCTTTACTGCGATATATATTCAGGGTGTCCGCAGGGTCTTAAAGTATTATAGCTGATAAATCAATGTAGAGAAATTTAAGGCCCTTTAAAACTATTAAAAGGTTTTAAATGCTATTTTGCCAGGTATTAACTTTGATATCATTTTTGATTTTGCAATGTATAATATGCTAAAGTGCACCTGAATTAAATCTGCGGATATCAGGAGGCTGTGTAGTTTTTGAAATCAATAAAATCCTACCAGATTTGGCATCATGCTGCTTTTTTACTGCATTAATAAAGGCAACACGATTATTCCTGGAGCTCTATAGGCGCCAACCTGCAGAATTAGCTAGATTTAGTTTAGTTTAGTTTATTTTATTCAGTATATGAATAATGTTTTAGTTTTAGATTAGTTTCTTACATTAATATATAGTAAATATACTGCAAGTTAAAATCTGTTTCAGGTTGAAAAGTGGTTATAAGGTCTTAATTTATGAAGAGTCTTTAAAAAGGACTAAAAAGGTATTGAATTTCACTCTCTGATTCCTGTATATACGCTGATATTGCGATATGATTACAATTTCACCAGATTACTTCAATATTGTAAGATGTTTCCGTAGGGGAGTGAATAATGCATAAAAAATAAAAAAACAATCTTCAAGATATAAATGAAGTCTAAGTAATTAATTATACAGTAATTATACAGTAATTAATTAATCAAATGTAAAATAATTCTGCATAGTCTTCATTGAATAAATAATGCAATTAAAGTTACAAATTGTACAATTTCTTATGTTTGAATGCTTTTAAAAACTTCAAATGCAAATAAACATGCAAATAATTAACTGTAATCCAGACCTGACATCGCTCATGCTGCGGTGTAACTTTTGCAAATAATCACATTATTATATTGATGCCGTAAAGAAGCATTGTGCAGCCCTAATATTGATATGACTGCTGATATATTGTACATCCCTATAATAAATGTGTTTGTTTCAGTTTGTACTTCAGTGTAAACTTAAATAATTTCAGCGAAGGCAGCATATTAAGTTTCAAGTCATAGATGGAAAAATGGATTTCATGCCTAATAATACAAAGAAAATTGAACTCAAACCAAAATAAGCATTTTTTTTTTGTTTCAAAAGCAACATTATATATTCCTATCAGATTATTGTCACATTTATTACAGGTGCTACAAACCATATTGCGTAATACGATCAAGTGTGAAAGCTTCATAGTTCATGAAAACACTAGCGTGGTTGTCATACCTGACATAACTGTTTTGTCTGTTTTTGACTGCAGGCTCTTGACGAAACCTTCCCCAAACACACGTTTCTGATGAACGGCCTGATTCAGGGAGTGAAGGTGTGGTGTTCTGTGTGATATTCTCACTTGTGTTTTGTTGATGTTGGTCATTGTTGATCAACAGTGTTGCTGTTCGTTGTCCTCCGCAGGGTCTGTTGTCGTTTTTAAGCGCTCCTCTGATTGGTGCTCTGTCAGATGTTTGGGGAAGGAAGTCGTTTCTTTTGCTTACAGTCTTCTTCACGTGTGCTCCCATTCCTTTAATGAAGATCAGCCCATGGTTCGTTACGCTCCTCACTTTTTCGGTCTTTTACACCTCATACAATGTTACTATAATTATTATATATTAAGAAGTTTTTAGTTCCCTTTATTATATGTGTTTGTGTATGTATGTATATGTATATATGTGTGTGTGTGTATATATATATATATATATATATATATGTATGTATGTATGTATTTATGTGTGTGTGTCCAAACTCGGCCCTGGAGGGCCGGTGTCCTGCAAAGTTTTGTTCCAACCCTAATCAGACACACCTGGGCTAGCTATTCAAGCTCTTACTAGGCTTTCTAGAAACATCTTTGCAGGTGTGTTGAGGCAAGTTGGAGCTAAAAACTGCAGGACATCGGCCCTCCAGGACCGAGATTGGACACCTCTGGTGTATATGTATAATATAAATTATTTATATATTAATATTAATTTTTAGTTTAGTATCTTTTCATGTAGTTTGTTTCATTTTTACTTTACTATGTTTTTATTTTATACTTATTTTACTTAGTTGGCGAAGCAATTTTCAGTCATTTTGTTATGCGCTTTCATCATCATCATCATCATCATCGTTGTTGTTATTATTAATTATTTACACACTTAAGTTTTTACTTTTTTTGTCAGTTTTTTCTTTCCCTTCGTTCGAACCCATAACCATGCTGTTTTTCTATAGAACAATTTCTATAGAGAAATTTAGTGTTTTTGTTTTATATATGAAGTTTTTATTGTTGTTTTATTTTATTCTACATACAATTTTATTTTATTAATAAAATAAATAATATTTTATCTCTTATTTTGATTTTAAGTTTTAACAACTATATTGTTCTGTGTTTTTGCAGCATTTTGTATTATTATTTTTAAATTTTATATATTTTTTTCATAACTTTTTCATTTATTTGCTAAATATTTATTTGTTATTATTATTTAATTTTATTATTATTGTTATTAATGTTGCTAACATTTTTCATGTTTTGGTTGGAAAATAAAGTACTACAACCTACTGTATTTCAGATACTTTCCAAGGCCTTTTTTACTTTAGCAGTATTAATTTAATATGTAATTTAATATGTAAATCCAATTACATTTTTTTTTTTTTGGGAATCCAATTTTAAACTTCTTTTATTCAAATATCAGATGACATGTACACACAATTGATGATGTCAACTTAAGCAGACGTTTATCAGTGTGAATTAATAATAAAAAAAGATTTCAAATGTCACTCTCTCTCGTGTTTCAGGTGGTATTTTGCCATGATCTCAGTATCTGGAGTGTTTGCTGTCACCTTCTCGGTTATATTTGCCTATGTGGCCGACATCACTCAAGAACATGAGCGCAGTATGGCGTATGGCATGGTGTGTATTACCCATCATCATCATCGTCATCATCATTTCTGTAGGCTCATAGCTTGGTATTAATCCTGCTGTTGTTTCTCCTCCAGGTCTCGGCCACGTTTGCGGCGAGTCTGGTGATCAGTCCAGCCATCGGTGCGTATCTCAGTCATGTGTACGGAGACACTCTGGTTGTGGTTCTGGCTTCTGCCATCGCCATGCTGGACATCTGCTTCATCCTGGTGGCCGTGCCGGAGTCACTGCCCGAGAAGATGAGACCCGCGTCCTGGGGCGCCCCCATCTCATGGGAACAAGCAGACCCTTTCGCTGTGAGTCCAGCAGAGCTTTCTCTACTCATTTTTTAACATGGATGTGAAAATGCAAAGATCTTACATGGTTGTGTGTCATAAGCGCTTTCAAATAGAAACCTTTTACGGCGCAATTGCCTAGTGGTTAGCGGGCCGAGATATGGTGCAGTAGCACGTCAGCGCGTCCCGAGTTCGAATCCCGGCTCGAGAACATTTCCCTACCCTACCCCACCCCCTTTCTCTTTCTCCAACTTCACTTCCTGTCTCAATACTGTCCTGTCTAATAAAGGCAAAAGGTCAAAAATAAATCTTAAAAATATGAACCTTTCAAATACAGTTAAAGTCAAAATTATTAGTGATTTATTCTTATGATTTTTCTTTTTCAAATATTTCCCAAATGATGTTAATCAGAGCAAAGAATTTTCCACAGTATTTTCGATAATATTTTTTCTTCTGGAGAAAGACTAGTTTTATTTCAGCTAGAATAAAAGTTTTTAATTTGTTATTTATTATATTTAAAACCATTTTAAGGTCAAAATTAGTAGACCCCCAAATTGTCTACAGAACAAATCACTGTTATACAATAACTTGCCTAATTATCCTAACCTGCCTAGTTAGCCTAATTGACCTAGTTAAGCCTATAAATGTCACTTTAAACTGAATACTTGTGTCTTGAAAAGTATCTATTAAAATATTATGGCATCATAGCAAAGATAAAAGATATCAGTTATTAGAGATGAGTTATTAAACTATTATATTTAGAAATGCGTTGCAGATATCTTCTTTCTGTTAAGCTGAAACGGGGAAAATATACAGGGGAATAATAAATCAGGAAGGCCAATAATTCTGACCTCAACTGTATGTCAGTTAATTTCAAATATGTTCTAAAAAATCTAATATTGCTATTAAAATCATGTCTAAATGTAGATTCCAAATGTGATTTTTCTTATATACAGTAGAACACATTTTTATAATGTGAGGTCCAGCCAGTCTACTGGTGGACGAAGGTTCACTGCATGTTTGGTCTTTTCGGTACACAATGTTGATTTACTTTAAATTTGACTCATATCTGACTCCAATTTTATTATTAGGTGGTTTAGAATATTAATATATTTATCCTCGTTTTATCTGACTTCAATTATAACACATTGACATGATTATTTAGTTTCTTTTAATATTACTTTGGATTATGGTTGAATATTTTCTTCAATTCATTATTTTATGTTATTCTTGTTCATTCGGATTCCTATAACATCCTGAGTCTTGTACCGGTCGAGTATACAATCTCTTCAACACAAGCATGTCAGTCTTGGTCATTAAACAGAGGTGATTAACCACTATTCTAAAAAGGCAGAACCCTACTTACTCTACTTTTTTAGAATATTAGTTGTGTGTTGTGCATGGGAATAAATGTTAAACAGTGTCAGTATAACTACTCGAGCCTATGTAATGTTGAATATAAAGCAAGAGGGAATGTGACAATGACAAATGTCTTATTTTACCATTAGAAAAAAATTGGTCTAATAAAGTTGTCAATGACAGATTGCAAGCATATGTCTCAAACATAATGATTCAACATCAGAAATATGAATAGTAATATTCTGATGTCATCACCTTGATGTGCATTAATGACCAGGACAAATTTTATGTCTGTTCAAGTCTATTCATAATTTAACATACAGTAGATCTACACGTAAAATTATTATAGTTTTTTTACCATTTGTTTGAGAAATAATAATAATACCCCACTCATATAACCTATATTTTACATCTACAGAATCGTGAGAAAATTGTGATCTTTATTTTAAGCAAAAAAATCTCAATTCTCATATCAGCCAGAATCGTGCAGCTCTACTTTACTGCACATTTATTTATGTAAAATCTGTTTTTACAAAATATTCAGTTTATAAATCTATATAAAATCGTTATGTTTCTAATTTGAACTTGACGTGACATATGTTAACATTTAAACATTTTAATTGTATATAATATATCAAATTTAAACCAGTTTTGGACTCTATATAGTTGCTGTTAAATCAAAGTTATGTTCCAAATGTGAACATGATGCCACAAAAAATTAGGTTCATATGAGATTTTATTTAGGTGCTGTACCAAAAAAAAGCTAATAGGTGATGTTTAAAATTTCTGTCATGATACTTCTTCAACCTTTAAGTCTCGGACTTGAAATATGTTTTATCAGTATTGACATATTAGTGCTTTTTTAAAGATGTGAAACAATGCCGCCTGCTAGTGAGAGGAGCTTGTGAAGATCTTGTAAAGCACAGATTTTATTACTTTCGCAAATGGTCATCGTAGAACCTTAATACAGAAACGAATGCATTATTATTATAAACGAGGAAATGGCACCGAAATGAATGAGTGATGGTGAAACTGAGGCAACGCTTTCTTCATTTGCACTGTGGTTTTTCTATAGGAAACTATAGGGTATTTAAAGCCTGACGTTGTTTTAAGCTGTTCTTTATCTGTACGCGTGTCATATCCGTCACTTTTGACATGTGGTCTGGTCTGAAGTTCCCCTGAAGCCTGATGCCGTTTCCCACCACGTTTGTTCTTGGTGTTAATGAGGAGTTTTTTCATGCCTTATTTAGAAGCAACATTTACAGTTTGGTATGTTAAACGTGTCAAACACACAAACCAATGCAAAGCCTTTTCTAACTGAATTAGTGTAGCATTAGTCTCTCATTATTATAGAGCTTTAATGACAAACATGCCGTGATTTCAGATTTGTTCCAAATGGCAGTTTTTGTAATTGCCTAATAAACAAACAAATTTAATGTAGAACTTAAAAATTTATCATGAAAAAATATCTCTTCAATTAGGATTGGATATTGTTTGGGGTTATTTCGGTGCTAAATCAATATTTTTAAAACTGTTCCTGTGCCTGAACCGATACTTTTGACTGTAGAAAAATCTTTTATTTGACAAAAAATATATATATTTTATTTGATCAATATAATTAAAGTTTAAATTTTACATCAATTCATATTTTTATTTATTTGAATTGAATTGCATTAATATATTTCGTCTTGTCAATGGCCTCAACACTTAATTTTGTTGTGCATTTAATATTTATTAACATTTAATTGTTCATTCAAATAAATTAGAATTTTACAGTTATGATCGAGATGATAAAATAATCTTTTGTGTATTAGCAGTCAATAAACTAATAACAGGCTTCCTAAGGGTCATTAAATTTTAGAAATATCATGTAATTTAAAATTGTGAAAAATGATCAAATCAAACCATCACATAAAAAGTGTAGGTTGATCATTTTTTTTATTTGACTGCAGATGATTTACTGCTGGTTTTGTCTGACCACAGGAAAACTGCACAATGTAAAGCTGCAGTTGACGCAGTAGCATTGTGTAAAGCGCGATATGATACAGCATGTTAAATCCTTGCGCTATTTTAAGTGACTGTAAATGGAGCCGATTCTACCGACTTCAAAATTAGTCTACTCCAAAAAACCCGGAACCGAACACTCCTACTGATCTGTGTATATTATTTGTAACGCTTTGCATTTTAATGAACAAATTTAACAATGTAAGTAAAATATTATTATTTTTAAAGATTATTTTGAATCATGTGTTCAATTAAAAAACCTGACTAAAGGATTAAAGGAAGTACTTTTACAACCTTAATCATAGTTCAACATTTACTAATGTATTATTAAACTCGAAGATAATCCACTCTGAGTTAACCTGAACTAACAATGAACAACTGTATTTTCAACATAAAGATGAATAATACTGTAATAAATGCATTGATCATTATTTGTTCATGTTTGTATACACTAACATTAAATTGTACCTTATTGTTAAGTGTCTAATAATTACATATCTAATATCCACTATAGGCTCTATACATCAGAAATAAACATGTTTGCAATAGCACACAGTTCTGCTATAAGCTTGTGTGTGTGTTTGTGTGTGTCTGTCTGCCTGCAGTCTCTGAGGAAAGTGGGTCAGGACTCGACGGTTCTGCTGATCTGCATTACAGTGTTTCTGTCGTATCTGCCCGAGGCTGGTCAGAACTCCAGCTTCTTCCTCTATCTGCAACAGGTGCGTCACTTCACCTTTAACTCCCTGTCATTAATCCTCCTGTTTACTGCCTCGCGTCTGTTCCCGATAACACACAAGCGGCGCTTTCATCCCGTCTGCTTTCTCCTCCTCTGCAGATAATGGGATTTTCATCTGAAAGTGTTGCAGCTTTCATCGCTGTTCTAGGTTTGCTGTCTGTCGTTGCACAGGTCAGTGATTTCATGTTCACACTTAGGCTATTTCAGTCAATGAAGAGTAAAACTATTAGGGATGTGTGATATATCAGTGGTCGTGTCCATATCGGTTTTTAATGTTAACGTTATCGGTATGATAACAATACCCGCAAAATATATTTGAACCGATAAATTCAGAATTTTCCCTGGTTGAACCAGTTCTGCCTAGACTGCTAAAAAAAGAGGGCTCTTGATCACTTACTAAGGAATTTTCCTGCCTGAGCATGAGAATATTTCTCAGCATATTTGCATATTGCTCATCATACAAAGATATTTCTGATGCTTGCATGTAATATGTACGCGTATACTATCAATGTTTAGCCCAGCACACAGTATTGGTTTGGATTTAGTTGGCTCTAATTGTATGAAGACAAAATTATTAGACAAAATGATATTTCTTTTCAAATATTTCACTTTTTTTTTACTGTTTAATTAAGCAATAATTAAAATAAACATTATAAAAAGCCAATTATTATGTTTAAAAAATCTTTCGGTTTGTTTGTTTAATGTCTATGTTTAGGTTTGATCTGTGATTTCTAAGTGAAACAGGACTAGTTTTGTAATTTGGTCCAAGTTACAAGTGTAAACAAACTTAATTAATCTTAATTACATGCTAATACTGTAAAAAATAGTCATTTTTAATCATGAAGATGATCTGCTTTTTTCCGCCTGCAGACTGTAGTGTTGAGTTTACTCATGCGTTCCATTGGGAACAAAAACACAATTTTGCTGGGACTGGGATTTCAGATTCTGCAACTCGCCTGGTACGGGTTCGGATCAGAGCCATGGTAAGATCTGTTATGTTAAAGAATAATTTAAGCAATTAATTCAATTACAAATGTTGAGCAGTAATAATATAATGTGTATACTGTTTACTGAAACTACTTGCAAGTAGGGGTGTCAAAATTAATTGTTTCTTCGGTGCACCGCGATGCAGACGCGGACAATTCGGTATCGGTTCAGTAATAATTATAACCGGTTATTATACTGACGTCATTTATCTCCTATGCGCTCTGTCGCGAGGGAGGTGAGCGCGAGTATTTACAACACTCAGCCAACTCAGGGCCGGCCCGTGGCATAGGCAGTATAGGCAAATGCTAAGGGCGCTGTATATCCAGGGGGGCGCCAGAAATGAGCGCGGTTCAGTTGGTTTTGTTTTCGATATTCCTGACACACATTCAGTTACAGACGGAAATAACTCAAAAACCCTAAAAAGTTTTAAAGTGTGTTTCCTACAAAAAAACAAAGCTGGTTATGTTTCACAGCTGTCTTTCTTTTATTTCGCTCGACATTACGATCACTGCTCCGTTTAAGCCCTCGCAATATGTGTTTAGCTGGGAGAGCTCGCGCTGAGAGGAGCTCTCAGTAAGGGACCGTCGGAAAAGTGTTTTTTTTTTTTTTTTTTCGTTTTTCTGCTCCGCTCAGTGCGAGCTCTCCCTGTTGCGAGGGCTTAAGTGTGTGTGTGTGTGTGTGTGTGTGTGTGTGTGTGTTTGTTTGTTTGTTGCTGTCTATGTTTGTGTATGTGTTTGAATGAGAGACAGTGTGGTGCTGTGTGTTTATACAGACAGCTTGTTATAGCCTCCCCCCTAAAGTATAATACTGTATATGGAAAGCATCGTCGATGCACCGAGATATCGAATTGAACCAAATCGAAGGCATGATAATCATAACCGAACCGAACTGTGAGACCAGTATAGGTTTACACCTCTACTTGCAAGTGTTCATAAAATCAAAAATTGTTGGTAAAAGTGTTTGTAAGATATTCATAATGGAAAAAAAGCCTGCAGCAATGTCCTGTTCATGTGGAATTTAAAGGGCACCTATTGTGAAAAATCTACTTTTCAAGCTGTTTAGACAGACGTGTGTAGGTATAGTGTATAGACCAGGGGTGTCCAAACTCGGTCCTGGAGGGCCAGTGTCCTGCAGATTTTAGCTCCAACTTGCCTCAACACACCTGCACGGATGTTTCTGGAAAGCCTAGTATGAGATTAATTAGGTTGGAACTAAACTTTGCAGGACACCGGCCCTCCAGGACCGAGTTCGGACATGCCTAGTATAGACCATCAGATTGGGGTGGTATAAACACACCCAGTCCTTTTTTTATTTTTATTTAACAGTGGAGAAGATTCAGTACTCCACCAAGGGTTACAGCCAAAAATGTTCTCTAATTTGGCAGCCAGTGCTGACATATATAAAGCAAATGGATTCAAACCTAATATTTTCAGTTTGATCGTTGTTTATTTGTTTCTCACATTTTTTTCCTTCCCTTCATTTTATTTTAGCTATCTAAAATTATTTAATTTCTTTATTTTACATTTGCTAAGCCTATTGTGACTGGTTGTGTGCGTACATATGTACAATAGATGAATGAACATATAATGGAACGTGTATATCATGACATGATGTAAAACAGAATAAAAATGGGCACAACATATCGTATAGAAATGGTGCAGTGGGCCGGGGACTCTGTTGGAGCAAAGATAATTTGTCTCTGTTTTTCAAATACTTTTGAAATTGATGTTTTATTGACCAAAATGTTAATAATAAAAAAAAATAAAGTTATAAGCTTCATTGATGTGGAATGTTAGTGGTGGCCTGATTAAGTAGCTATACATGAACAAAGGAAAATTAAGACCCGTTATCAAAGATTTGACCTACAACACAGTATTTCAGTAAATTTAAGACTTTTTAAATCTCAAGTTGTTTTTGAGATTGAAGACATTTTAAGACTTTTCAAGACCCCGCATATAGTATCATTTCTGTACATTAAATCAATTATTAGTATATATCGACCTCATGTAGAGGACTATTTCTTTTTTACATCTTAATGTATACATTTCTCACTTTATTTTCAATTATGGAAAATAATTGAGGAAAAAGTATTGCCATAAATGATGTATTTTACGACACCACAAAATAAACGATAGAGCATAGACTATTTATTTTGTCTATACAATATATATTATCATTTTGCACAGCCCTAATTCACAGTCTCGACAAACAAGCATGTTTGTATCTGGAGAGCCTTTAAATCTCTTGTTTTAAGTCTCAGTTATATAATATCACACACGTCTTGACGCATGTAATGTGCTTCTTCTAGGATGATGTGGGCCGCTGGAGCCGTGGCAGCCATGTCTAGCATCACCTTTCCCGCAGTGAGCGCTCTGATTTCCCGCACGGCGGATCCGGATCAGCAGGGTGAGCTGACGGACGTGAGCTCAGGTGTTCAGTGTTGTTGTTATTTGAGCTGCGGCGGCTGATGCTCTGGTTTCCGCAGGTGTGGGTCAGGGAATGGTCACTGGGATCCGTGGACTGTGTAATGGTTTGGGTCCGGCTCTCTATGGCTTCATCTTCTACATCTTCCACGTGGAGCTGGACAAGGTTCCGGAGAAAGGGCCCGATGTACAGCATCACCGAGATCTCCATCAACAGGTCAGCGCATGCTTTTAATCAATTCGCTTGCTTGATAATTAATTGATAACAATTTAGTTTAATTAGATGATTGGTCTTTATAGTAATCACTAAATTTGTGAAACCTAATTACAATACGTCATTACATCTAGACAGAAATGACATTTTTGGGTGAATTATACCTTTTATAAATACAATATGTGACCCTTGTATGGTGTTCGGGTCTGTGAGACCCGTTTTCAGTTTTTTCAAAATAAAAATGAAACACTGAACTAGTTTTTCAACCTGAAATTCTCTAGCTTTGGCTTATTTTCTGTGAAGAACATAAATCCGAACAAGTTTCAACGACCGCATAAATGTACCTCCCCGCACACATTTACATTACGCACAAGGTGTTTGGGTCCACTAGACCCAGGTCTAATAAAAGTCTTGAAAGTGTCCAGTGTTCCTACACTCTGTCCCCCTCCTCTCTGGTGCTGCTGTTTTCTTCCCCTTCCACTCCGCACAAAGTTGCAACATTGTTGAAAATTCAACCATCAACACTGTCTGCTCTTAGGGTGCTTTCACACCTGTGAATCAATTCAGTTGTTCCGAAACAGAGATTACAAATGTTACATTGTTGCTCTTTGCTCTTGGAGCGGTTTGCTTTCACCAATGACTGTAAAAAAAATATGGACGACGCGACAGCCCTTTTTCCCATTGAACGCCTTGAGGGCAAAACACCTGCTTGACGGGCACAAACTGTCGCAAAAGACTGCTGAAATTGGAGCCTTGACATGCGCAGAAGGATTGTCTGATGGAGCCAGAGGAGGAGCCGCGAAAATGAGCTTCCAACCAAATGTTTTATGTAAAATCAACCACGCCCCCCGAACTTCTCAGCATGCGTTTGCTGTCATATCAACACAAATGGATGTAATAACGTTAACAAATATGAGGGTTTTATATATTCAATCGCGCCAGCTCCGGGCCGCAGCGCATAACCTACTCGCGGCGTCGCGGGCTGATTCCGGCTCGCATGCGGCAGCGCCTGCTCGCTCGGCCGCCGCATCTGGCTCGATTGACTCGGGCTGGAATCGGGTAGTGAGTCCAGGCATCCGGAGTAGGTCCAGCAGAGGTAACATTAGTCAGTCTGAGCTCTAAGAGATAAGTCTCCGGCAGGCGAGAATCTAGCCGGAACTGTGTTTTGCTATCTGGGTGGCTAGGCGTGTATCAGCAAACTAATAAAGCCCGAAAAAAGCCCTGAACTTAGCGAATAAACAGTGTTCCACCAGGATCATGTATGTCAGAAACTATAGTTTACTGCTGAACTCATTTTGTCATCGTAAAATAACACAGAAATTGAATAATAGCACTTCAGTCTCCTGCCGAAGCTCAGACGCGCTGCTTTGAGAAACTGTCAATCACAGCTGTCAATCACGATGACACGCCCAGCATTAAATTACTGCTAAAAACAAACTGTTTACTAAAATGAGGATCTGCACCTATTTCAGCACAATAATCAGTGCCTTAATCCACCAGAACCATCTTTCGGGACATTTTATTGCAAGTGTAATAATTTTTTTTATTTGGGCTCAAGTCTCCTTCATTAACACGGAGGAGGCGGGCTTTATGACTTGTACTGCAGCCAGCCCCCAGGGGGCGATCTAACGGCCGAAACCTTCACTCAAACGCAGGCTTGCGGCACACTTGGCTTTCACACTGCAACGTTTCTAAACGGACCAAAAGAGCTAAAATAAGTCACGTGTGAGTAAACTCTCCTCCCATTGGTCAGGGTTTATTTTGCAGAGTCCCGCTCAGCTGTCAGGAGAGGTGGTGGTTTTTGACAAGGTGCGCATACGTGTTTGAGGAGAGATGCGGTGGGGAGGGGTGAGCGACGTAGCCCAATTGAGGACCGGGAGGGAGACGTGAGATTACCGGGAGATTATCACTCGTTTGCGGTCATCCAGAGACTCGCAAAACTTCCCGCCCTACTCATAATTCTCTCTTCTTATAGCCGTAAGCCTATTACATATCCATAAAACACTGTGATATAACCTCGCTCGGATAGGATCGCTTTCTCACTGCAATCGATCCGCTCCAGAGTTTGTTTCAATCAAGCCGAGACCACCTCATTCAAGCGATCTCGGAGCGATTGATTTGGCACGGATCCGAGAGCGATTGGTGCATTCACATATGCCAAACGAACCGCGCTAGGTTCCGAAATAAAAGTCTAGGTGTGAAAGCACCCTAACATTCCCGCGCATTTTACCCTCTCTTGCGGGAATCAACCTTTATTTTCTCATACCCTGTTCCATCTGCGAATTAGGGACATAGTACTATAAATAAGACTTTGCCAGTGTGGTTCCTTATCACAACTGATCAAGATGGCCAAAAGATTATCTGCTGCGAGGGCCTTGCAATTGATTATGGAAGAGAGAGGGGCTTCTGATGATGATATCCATGGCCATGGTGGGAACAATATGAAAAAACAAATCTGTGGGTTTTATTCATTTCATAACATTAATAATAATAATAAAAAAACAAGAAGCAGATTAATTCATCAATATGATCTAACATAGGTAAAGGGGAAAATTAACCATGTTTGCTGTTTATATGGCTTGTAATTGGGATTAAGTAAACATTTAACGTTTTTTTTTTACATCTAGCGGGTCCACCAGACCCATGAACACTGGCTGAGTAACCAAAATACGAACACCACACAAGGGTTAATGCCATTTGGGTGTGTCCATGTTGCTCAGCATTGTATATTAAACAATGTGAAGACTCGTGCGACCACCTTTACGCTTCTCTCCTGACCCCGAATATATAATTGACTGAATCGTAGAAAAGCAGAATTAAGATCGTGTGTAGAGTCGAATCGAGATCGCAATCTTTTTTTTGAGTAATCGTGCAGCCCTAATAAAAGATCATAACTTTACACGAGTCTCTAACAACAGAAAGCAACACATGTATTGAATGAATGAATGAATGTATAAATTTTACCTGAACAAAAGACATTTTATGATGAATTTTTTAATGCTGCAATGTTTTGTTAGCACGCTGAAAAGTTTTTAAATCTTATGATGCTGATGTAACTTTATAAATAAGATATTTTATACTGCTATGAAACTTTGACTGATTCCAAATATTCTTAATATTTCTTCATAATCCAATAACAAATATATAGACTAATGAAAATCAAACTTCATATTAACTGATGATGCACACCCTCCGAGGACAACACAATCTTAAGCAATACGCAAATACACTTCATTGTAAATGTATTATACAGACATCACCCTTTTAAAAAGCACATTATATATTATATAACTGCAGGTTATGTGTATATATACTGTCCATCCTACACAGAACAGCTTCACTTTCTATTTTTGACTGTAATGTAATACCGTGCACCTTTTCTATTGTGCTTTGGAGCAATAATTATTGTGTAAAGCGCTGTACAAATAAACCTGAATTAGAGTTTTCTCAGCAAAAGACAAATAGATACAGGGCAGAAGCGTCACCATGTTAGTTTGTTCAAAATTAGCATCCGCATCTTTTTTTATTTATTTAAATAAATAACTTTGCATTAATCTTGTTTCCCCGACAGAGTGCAATAATCCCAGGCCCGCCCTTCCTCTTCGGCGCGTGTTCTGTGCTGCTGGCGCTGTTGGTGGCTCTGTTTATTCCTGAACACCCTCATATGGGCACTCGCTCGGGCAGCTGGAAACACCACACATCCCCGCACGGACACCCGCACAGTCCACACCCCCCAGGAGAGGCCAAAGAGCCCCTTCTACAGGACACTAATGTCTGATTGGCTGTTCCATGTTGGCCACGCCCCCTCCATCATTTGAGGAACGAACTGCGCATGGAGGCTGTTGTCATTTATTGAAGCGTAAAGCTATATATCAAAGGCGTGCTCGGTTTTGTGAATAGATCTGTGCTTTCTTTCTTACTTTGAAGGTAAGTTTCTATGATCAAGACTAGCGTTCCTTACTGTATCACGAATAGAGCACCACTTTTTAAAAGTAATGTGTATATAGAAGAACATATATTTAATGATGGTTCTGTCCAACGGCACTATTACAACGGCTTGTATTTATTCTGTTTTTTTTTTTTAACGACTTTCTACTTCTTCATTATGCTAGCTCACTCAGGGACATAACCTGGTCAGGAATGTTTCCACATTCAGAAGGGCCGCTTCACAACATACATGCAAACACTGGGTTTCATCTTATAAACTCGAGAAGAATCAATTTGTAAATTGCTTGTCAAACTATTTGCTGAATTTGTGTTGAACGAGCCTTTTTTTTTTTTTTAGCTATTCATAATTTTTTTAAATTGTAAAATGTTTGAAAAACGACACTTATTAAACTGTTTGCAAGAATTAACCCTGAACAAACTTAAACTTGTGCAGAAAATTTGAGAGATTTTTTTTTAACAATGTAAATAATTCGTAAGAGTATTCGCAAGAAATTGCATAAAGCACACTTTCATTTTTCTGTAAAACCATTCATAAATTCTGTAAGTAATTCAACTGTTTGCAAAAAATTCCACAGAAAGCATGTGTAAATTTAAATAATATACGTTTTGACTATCATTCTTAATGTAAAATTAGAGACGACAAAAGAATTACCACTTGATTATTCACAGAACAAATTCCCAAAACTGAATCTACTTGGGAATATCTGCAAATTATTCGTAAATCGGTTCAAATTAAGCCAATTAACATAAAATGTTTGTAGGACTTTTTGTTGAATTTCGCTTGTTTGTTAGTTTTTTTCTATAAACCTGCTGCATTGATAAGAAGCGTTCATAAGAAAACTTTACACTCGACTGTACGGATTTCTATATGAGAATGGCCTTAACTGATACTTCATTTTCAGACTTCGATAAACGAATTTCCGTAACGGAATGATTGTGGTTCAGCTTTAGTGTTTCATTTTCTTTCTCTCACATGTCTAAGCTGATGCCTGTTTTTATTTATACCACTTAGAATCAATGGTGCCTTCCCCAGCTTACATGGTGTCGTTGATTAGCGACGCATGAAACTTCCAATCGCAAGATCTGATCTGCGTCAGTATTTGAATAGTTGAGTTGCGTCAGACGACAGTAGAGCTGACTCCAGATCAGTAGTGAAACTGAAACACGTGACGCGTCATTTGTCTGGATTCGCTTTGGCCTTGTGTAGAAATATTATTTTACGAAACTACGTATGTTTACGCAGAACACTTTGTAAATGCCAACTGAGAGTACATTTAAGCAAAAGGGGGTGATATTTTTTTTTCTTTTTGCCAGTGGCCTTTCAATTTTAGTTTTGTTTTCATTAAGACAAACATACAGCTTGTTTTTAAGATACATCATGACCAAATTTATGTATATTTAGTCAAATTAGTTTGTGTGCTTTGGATATTTATGAGATGATCTCCTGTAATATATTACCTTTGTTTCAGAATACAGTGTGCTTTTTTTAAGTTCTGTGGTTCAGTTGTGCCGTCTTCATCATAAGTTTTAACATGTTTTTTTTTTGGACCCTAAAATGTAAATGTCACAAAGTATCTAAACATGCATTTCAATAAAAGTTCAATATTTTGATGTATGTGCGATTGTGTTGGTTGATTTTTATTTTATGTTCATATATATCGTCACCTTGGCATTATAAGCGTCTATCTGCGTTCTGAATGATTGAGATATTGAGCTTCAAAGTTTTTGCATTCCTTAGCACACAGTGTTTGTATCATTTGTTTTTTAAATAAAATGTCTTAAAATGTGATCAACTTATACAAAAACATGCCATAATGTAAATAAGATGTCATTTAATAACAATAAGTCAATAACTCAATTTTGACAAATGTCTGATGGAAACTTACAAATCTAAGGTGACAATATATTTTTTATATTTTTATGAGTACTTACAGGGTTCTTACACTAATTACCATCTTCTAATTCCAGCACTTTTCAAGCACTTTCAAGGTGCATGTGTATGCTTTTCCAGCACCTAACAACCACAGTAAATTAACAATTTTATCCCCTCACACATATTTTGAACTCGCAGATAAACTTTCAGGTGCATATTTGACCAAAATGGTAAGAATTTGGAGCTATGCAATTTCAAATTTAAGCAGATTCAAGCACTTTGTCCAAAATCCGAGCACTTTCCTAACCTTGAAACCACTATAGTAAAAATTGTGCATTTTCCAGGATTTCCAGCACCCGTATGAACCCTGTACTTAGTAAAAACGCAAGTTCTCCAACTGTGTTTAATATTTTATTAACTTAATCCTAAAATACCGCTACTGATGAACAACTAACCCATGATGGAGAACACTGTCAAACCATAAATACAAAAATATGAATGTACACAATGAATTCTATACAGCTGTACAGATATCATGTCAGGCACTTACATTTGCCAACTGAATGATCAATGCAAAATGGCAGCTCTCTGAGTGTAAATCATTGAGAGACTTTTTATATTTGGCACTGAAATAAGAACTTGAATGTAGACTTCACAAAAAGATGAAACTAAAATCATTTACTCACCCTGGTGATGTCCAAATGCTGTATGCATGCCTATTTATCCTCATCACACCATGTGCTTATGATCAGCGCTTTATAAAAATAAAGTCTTCTTTCAAAAGTACTGAGGGACGTGATGCTTTGAGGGGGCAAAAAAAAAAAAAAAAAAAGGCGGTTTATTCCAACGAAAAATAATCCTCCGTTTTGCATACACGCGTCCATTTTTTTTAACCTAAATGTTATTAACTTTAAAAATCATGACTACAAACGCGATGAAAAGTGTAACCTTGAATCTAGCGGTTTCTTAACAGATTTCAATATCTCGTAAGATGACACGTGAACGGTTTGCGACGTACAACAATTATATTTACCTCAAAACAAAAAATAAAGTACTTTAACAGTATTTGAGGAGCGCTAATAATAATAATAATCTCGATTTCTTTTGCCGGGGCACTTGGGACGAGTTGTTGTCTAATGCTCGCGCCTCATTTAAAGAGACCAGCGGTCAAAATTATTATTCCGTTAAATAATTAATACAGTTTTGTTTCATTTCCCCCCACATAACTATAACTTACAAGTAATATACCTCTTTCTGGACGCAGTTTTGTGACTCTGCGGCACCTTTATTAAGCTTGACTACTGCTGTTACATGGACATTTAAAAAGAGGAACGGATAAAAAAAAAGCTCCCTCACGACACCAAGGTGAGTAAATGACAAAATAATCTCAAAGTCTGACTGATCCTCTTTCCAAACAGACTGCAAAATCGTTTTAAATATATATATATTTTAATAAATAACTGAAAACAAACTATTAAAAATATAATCTGCACTGAGACTTTTCAATGCAGACTCTTCCATTTAACAGTAGCGTTCACACAGAAAACCCAGTGATGAATCTGGATTAACCTGCTGCTCGTCATCCTGGAAAAAACGCTGATGGTGTTGCTTTCGCTGCAGCTGTGTTCAGTGGCTTTGGAACTTCTGCAGGTAGAGATGGTTTGTGTTAGATATTATACTTACTCATGATTTATCAATATGAAAAAAAAAATATATTAAAAAAAAAAAAAAAAAAATATATATATATATATATATATATATATATATATATATATATATATATATATATATATATATATAATTATTATTATTTTTTTTTAAGATAAGTGGTTTGCCTCTATTTAGATGCATGCTGGGTAGAAGGCCACGAAGAGGAATGCTGTCATCTCGTCTCTCAAAGTACTTTGAGTCCAATCCTACAGGTTCACTGCTGTTCAGATCAGAGATGTGTGATTTATTGGAGACTGATGGTTTTATTGGAGAACAGGAAGTCAGAGGATTAAGAGAGGAACTTACTTCTCTTTATTGGCCGGCTGGGAAAAAGCAGCTGGACTCACCTCTGCTGCTGAAGGTTTGACACTCATCGGGTTAAACTGGACCTATGATGGAGTTTAGTTGCAAAAAACATTCTGTTACAAACATTCATAATTAATGACTATCAGTCAAACAAACAAACAAACAATCTCAATGTTGTTCACAAAGACTGCTACATTCTGATTTGTAGATTTAGATTTTTAAAAAGATGTATTATCATTATGAATCTGATATGAATTGCAAATGTGCATTAATACAGTAATTTACATATTTTCACCAATTATATGCGTTTCTGTAAATAACAATAATGTAAATTATGGTGAAAATGTTACAAATGTCAATGAATGTATATTTACACTTCCTTTATCCTTAAAACTTAAGAATAAAGTAAATTTGTTAATTTACAGCAAGGTTGTATTATTAACTAAACATTAGTTAATGAAAATATAAGTAACTTATTGTAACTGTTGACAAGTGTTGGATTTTAATATTGTGTTAGTAAATGTTGAACTATGGTTAATAAATGCTGTACTAATATTGTTCATTGTTAGTTCATGTTAGTAAACTCATTACAGTAAGGTTTCATAAGTTATTGTTAGAAAGTGTGATCGAAAATTTAACAAGACAACATTTTCAGCCAAGAACAGGACTACGTTTTGCATGTTTACACGTCAACGTTATTTTTGGGACTGAAAATACGTTTCAAAGTAGAAGAAGAAAAAAGCACGAGCAAAAAGTGTTTAGGGGCCTCATGTATCAACGCTGCGTACGCACAAAAACTTTGCGTACGCCAGATTTCACACTCACGTTTGGATTTACTAACAATGAAATTAACGTGAGAGTGTGCTTTGGTCCATGCCAACTTCATGCCTGGCGTACGTGCTTTTCTTGTGTGTTTGTTATATTTCCATTGGCGACTTCTAGAGGCAGTTGTAATAAATTGCACACTACAAAGTACCTTTGAGTCGTGCAATGGCAGCTGTATGGGACTGGATCATCCGCATGTCTAGCAGGTATATAAGGTTTCCATACCATACAGTTGACCAGCCGAACATTAAAAGCACAATTTGCAGCGATCGGCGGTTTTCTCAATGTAATCGGAGCGATCGACTACACCTACATTGCTATAAGGACGCCATCTGAAGAATTTGCATACGTGAATCGGAAACATTTCCATTCAATAAATGTGCAAATAATATGTGATGCTCAAAATGCGCTTAACATAACACACACACACACACACACACACACACACACACACACACTTTACGAGCTACGCCACTCGCGCTGCTGTTGCCACTCTCTTTAGTTATGTTGTCTCTGTCAAACGGTGATGGGCTGAAAGGAGCACCTCCAATTTACATTCTGTTCAAAGTTTCTCTTTTTGCCATTGCTTTTTTATTTGGTTTTGCCAAAGTAGAGTCATTAGCATATTGATTAGGGGAAGGAGGCAGGGAGGGGTTTTGTGCTCGTGCACGTGCGCTGTTTCACGTTAATTTGGATCAATGACTGTAAAAAATATGGACGACGCGACAGCCCTTTTTCCCATTGAACGCCTTGAGGGCAAAACGCCTGCTTGACGGGCACAAACTGTCGCAAAAGACTGCTGAAATTGGAGCCAGACATGCGCAGAAGGATTGTCTGATATAGCCAGAGGAGGAGCCGCGAAAATGAGCGGAGTCGAGCTTCCAACCAAACGCTTTATGTAAAATCAACCACGCCCCCCGAACTTCTCAGCATGCGTTTGCTGTCATATCAACACAAATGGATGTAATAACGTTAACAAATATGAGGGTTTTATATATTCAATCGCGCCAGCTCCAGGCCGCAGCGCACAACTTACTCGCGGCGTCGCGGGCTGATTCCGGCTCGCATGCGGCAGCGCCTGCTCGCTCGGCCGCCGCATCTGGCTCGATTGACTCGGGCTGGAATTGGGTAGTGAGTCCAGGCATCCGGAGTAGGTCCAGCAGAGGTAACATTAGTCAGTCTGAGCTCTAAGAGATAAGTCTCCGGCAGGCGAGAATCTAGCCGGAACTGTGTTTTGCTATCTGGGTGGCTAGGCGTGTATCAGCAAACTAATAAAGCCCGAAAAAAGCCCTGAACTTAGCGAATAAACAGTGTTCCACCAGGATCATGTATGTCAGAAACTATAGTTTACTGCTGAACTCATTTTGTCATGGTAAAATAACACAGAAATCGAATAATAACATTTCAGTCTACTTCAGTCTCCTGCCGAAGCTCAGACGCCGCGCTTTGAGAAACTGTCAATCACAGCTGTCAATCACGATGACACGCCCAGCATTAAATTACTGCTAAAAACAAACTGTTTACAAAAATGAAGATCTGCACCTATTTCAGCACAATAATCAGTGCCTTAATCGACCAGAACTATCTTTCGGGACATTTTATTGCAAGTGTAATATTTTTTTTTATTTGGGCTCAAGTCTCCTTCATTAACACGGAGGAGGCGGGCTTTATGACTTGTACTGCAGCCAGCCCCCAGGGGGCGATCTAACGGCCGAAACCTTCACTCAAACATAGGCTTGCGGCACACTTGATTTGGATGCACAAAAGAATATGCGTGGGATTCAGCATACATTTCATTTTTGTATACTGTGTACTCACATTTACAGCTTTGTCCGTACGCAATGTTTTAGTATGAGTTCAACGCAAGTCTTCGTACATGAGGCCCCTGGTCACTTCACATTATATCCAACAGCAGAGACGCATCTTATACACACAGCAAAATCTGTTTACTAAGGGGACAGTGGCAAATACCGGCCTGGCATACATAAGAGTGTTTTTGAATATATTTTACAGATGGGCAAACGTGTATAATTTGAAAAAGTCACGAAAAATCAGTAAAACTTTTTCAAAAGGCAAATTGAAAAAAAAAAGTTGTTTTTGGCTACATTGTTGTCATGTAAAGAGCTTGAAACACTCAAACCACAGAACCAGGAGAAACACAGGAGAAACAGAAAGAGAAATAGAAGAAAGGCCTGCCTTGGGTCCATTGCTGCTGGTCAGGACAGATCGAGATCCTGAGCTCACACATGACAGGGCAAGAGGATATTTGGAGTTTATGGTAGAGGTGATGGGGAAAGCCTGTCCCAAAGACGACAACAAACCTTTACTATCAAGCTGGAGAACAGGAGGAGGACTACATCACTCACACATGCAGATCATCAAACTACAGCTGAAGGCATGATTTACAGTCTGCTGGATTTGGTGCGTGTGTGTTGTGTGATTGGTCACCATATTGTGCGGGACAGCGGCTGATCTCAGTGCCGCTGCAGGCGTCTCAAACATGGCTACAGTTTCCTGCTTTCTGGAGAGCTGATTCTCATTCAGCTGCTTGTTCAGCCACGTTATTACTGAGGGACAGAAAAACAGAAAATACACATGAGAAAAACCACAACGCTCTAATGAAATCATTTATGATAAGTTATATTGCACTAACACAAAATCTCATTTCTTCTAAACGTAATAACTGTAAAAAAACAAACAAAATAAATAAAAATACAAATAATCGAATGGATTTTAATAAAAATAAACAAAGACAGTAAATTGCCTTAATATAAATTTTTATTTGAATATTTATAATCAGTTGTGTTGAAATGAATTCTCTTTCATTTCATAAAATTAAAAACAAAAGTAATAGAATTATCAATAGAGGAATACATTAAATTCTAAATAAAATAGTACTAAATGATACTCTAAATGAAAAATAATAATAAATTATTAAAGAACATAAAACAAAGACAAAACTTACAGCTTTGAGAAAAATGTTAAAATGAAACAAACTATTACATTTAAAATGCATAAAAACAAAAAAACAATAAATATCATTTGAATAAACAATTTTAACAATTATATAAACAAAAAAACAACAATGATAATAAAGATTTAAAAAAAGTCAAACTAAATAAAATATTTTCAATTATATTTAAAAATTTTATTATCAATTTATATTCTCAAAATTATAATATCATTTAATAAAAACATTTTTTTTACCCAAAATGATAAGTAAAGGACGTGAAGAGATAAATAAACAAAAATACCAAATGATAAAACTCTAACAAATAAAATGATCATATAAATAAATAAAACAAAAGGTTAAATAAACAGAAGCAAAAGAAACTGATAAAATTAAATCAAAATTATGGATAAAATAACAAGAATTAATACAAACAGATTTAAATTGATAGAAATACATTAAAAAAATTAAAATTATGAATAAAGAAGTAAATAAACCAATAAAAATAAGCTAAACTAAAAAACAAAATGGTTATATAATGATAACTCCAAATTAAAGAAATAAACATGCACAAATAAAAATGTATAATAGAAATTAAATTATAGTAAAAAAAAAAACAGTACTGACCATTCTCATTAGTTTTTAACACTTCCCTGCTCTCGTCCAGCTTCTGAACAGTAGCTTCCAACTGCTCCTTTAATTTTGCTGCCTAAAAACAGAAGAAACCGAAAGAGGCCATTAAGAACAATCATCCTCATCCTGTGTGTGTGTGTGTGTGTGTGTGTGTGTGTGTGTGTGTGTGTGTGTGTGTCGCACCTCCTCCTCCTTCAGTGAGAGTCTCTGCTGTGTGTCCTGCAGCTCTCTCTGCTGTCTCTGCAGTTTGTCACTGGTCTCCTGCAGGATCTTCTCTTGAGAAACGGTGACGCTGTTCTTCACCTTGATCTTCCCCAGCAGAGCCTTCAGATCTGCCTGCAACTTCTTGATGATGCCGTTTGCCTGTGGGGGGGAAACTGCTGTTTTCAGGACGCTGAATATTGAACACTGATTGTGCTGTTGAAAGCGGACACTAACCTTGATGAGCTCCTCTGACAGAGACTTCACTGTGGACTCCAGCTTGCTGATCTGAAGCTGCTTGCTCTCAGCGTTTCCTTCCACAGAGTTCTAGCAAAAATAAACTTAAGTGTTACATTTATAATTAAAAGAACAGGTTTGATTACATACATATATATATACATATACACAGTTGAAGTCAGAATTATTAGCCTCTCTTTGAATGTTTTTCTTTTTTAAATATTTCTTCAATCATGTTTAAGAAAAACATTTTGTTGGACAAAATTATTAGCCCCTTTGAGCAAATTTTTTTCTCGATAGTCTACAGAACAAACCATTGTTATACAATAACTTGCTAATTACCCTAACCTGCCTAGTTAACCTAACTAACCTAGTTAAGCCTTTAAATGTCACTTTAAGCTGTATAGAAGTGTCTTGAAACATATCTAGTTGAATATTATTTACTGTCATCATGGCAAAGATAAAATAAATCAGTTATTAGAAATGAGTTGTTAAAACTATTATGTTTAGAAATCTGTTGATAAAAATCTGCTCTCCATTAAACAGAAATTGGGGAAAAATTAAACAATTACGTTTATCAAACATACGATAAATGTATGAGCCTTCCTTTGAAATTTGTATTGTTTTTCAAAATTTCCTAAATGCCATTTAACAGAGCAAGGACAATTTCACAGTATTTTCTGTAATAAGTTTCCCTCTGTACAAAGTCTTTTTTATTCTAGCCAAACTAAAATTGATGCATTATTTTTATTTATTTTTATTTTATGGTCAATATTGTTAGCCCTCTTTAAGAATTTTTCTTTCAACTGGCTACAGAACAAGGAAATTTCACCAAATCTCAAATTAAAACACTGCCAGTGATCCTTTTTCCTCATAAAACAACAAAAAGATGCTGCCTTTTGTGTTTTAGGATGTTTGAAATAATTTTTGGACAAAACACGAACAGTGTTTTAACTTAATATTAACTTTAATCAATATTTGGTGGAATGACGTTGATTTTTCTTTTAAAAATCACAAACTATTGAAAACTATTGATACTATTTTTGATACTGCAATACACCCGTCACCTTATTAAAGATAAACAAGGCTAGAATATGTTTTTTTTTTTTAATATCAACAAAACATTTTGCAATAGTGCACTTGTGAAATAAAAATCTTTATTACTGTAACATTCAAAACGCAATAAAGTGCTGTTAAAAAAGAAAAACTAATCACACAATTAGTCATTTTCAAAATGAAATAAAATATTTTACTAGGCCTAGGGTGTCACGGTGGTGCAGTGGGTAGCACGGTCGCCTTACAGCAAGAAGGTCACTGGCTCAAGCCCCGGCTTTGTCAGTTAGCATTTCTGAGTGGAGTTTGCATGTTCTCCCCGTGTTCGCATGGGTTTCCACTGGGTGCTCCAGTTTTCCCCAGAGTCCAAAGACATGCGGTACAGGTGAATTGAATAAGCTAAACTGGCCGTAGAATATGAGTGTGAATGCAAGAGTGTATGAGTGTTTCCCAGTGTTGGGTTGACATTCCCTACATAAAACATTTGCTGAAAAAGTTGGCGGTTCATTCCACTGTGGCGACCCCTGATTAATAAAGGGACTAACGCCCTATTCACACGGGGCGTCAGCGTCAACGCTTCCCATTCACTTTGAATGGGTGACGTCAGGCGTTGCCGAACTGCATTGTGGATCCGTCGGCGCCGCTTCAGGAGCGTTCCTCGCTGCAGAAGTTGGGACCAGCTCAACTTTTCAAGCGCCGACGGAAGCGTCAGCCAATCAGATTGCTGTATGCAAATACACCAGCTCAGACAGTGGCCTATTGCTGACTGAATTTCATTGGCTGACGCTTCTATGACGATCGTTTCAGCTCCAACTTCAGACACGCCTTCAGTCAAGCGTTGACGCTGAAGCCCCGTGTGAATAGGGCGTAAGCCAAAAAGAAAATGAATGAATTAACTATGTCTATGCTAGCAGCCCTACTACTAAATCCCTAGTAAAATCAGTGTAATCTTATTTAATGTTCATATTTTCTGATTAAAACAAAAGGAGATTTAGCAATACTGCACTACTGACAATCCTGACAATCCAAAACTGCAGAGAAACAAAAGCAACCACAGAAATCATGGAACCTGCAGTGATCACTTTGTCTGATGTTAAGCCTTTCTTATTTGCACCTCATCAGTGCACTCAATGTTAAAAAAATTATTAATTAATAGGCCTACAAGAGTGTTTACAGTTTTTTTTTCTTCTTCCACCAACTGTTTGCATCTCGTGTTTTAACAATCAAGCCGCTCTCTCCCAAAACCGAAAGGTATGTTGCCAGTCAGGCAATATTTTACCTTTCAACCAAAAGAAATTTCAATAAAGATTTACTCTTTAAAAATCGTCTTAAACAGCCTTTTTTGTGTATAATTTACCAATACACACACACACACACACACACAAAGCTCTCTAACCTTCTGCTGCTGCGTGGCCTCCAGCACTTCTTTGGTCCTCAGCACAAGCTGGTCTTTATCTTTGATCTCCTGCTCCAGAACGGCCACTCGTGTCTGCAGCTGATTCAGCAGACGCTCCTTCTCATGACACTCGCTGTCCAGAGCGCTGTTCTCCCTCCTCAACGACAACACCTGCTGCTTGGACCGCTGACACTCCTGGACGGAGGTGCGCACAAACAAAACTCCATTTTAGGCCATTTAAAGGACATCCTTTACAACCAACGTTTTCAAACTTTTTGTGAATTTTGCCCGTTTGTTTACATGCCAAAAGCATTTTTGTGAGAAAACGAATTTTAAAGTGCAAAGTTTTGAAAATGCTGCCATTGTCATGTCCATGTAAACACCCGAAAACAAGTCTTTGAAAATGATGCAAGCATAATGTCCTCGATTTTGAAGACTCTTGTTTTGTAATATTCAGAATCGATTCTGTATTCAAATTAGACAGTGACAGAATGGGCCTGAATTCAACCAAATTGATGGTCAAAACTAAAAATTTTAAAGATGTGGCGAGGTGCTGAGTTTCTCATCTGGTGTCTGTTGTCCAAATTCCCGCTGTTCCACAAATCGAAACGGCAAGTCATCATAGACAAGAATACAGCACCCAATATTGATCTGGTAAACTCAACACAGGGTTTTCAAAGCAGACAACTGGTTTCAAAGTAGAAGTTTTTGGAAAATGCTGTCATTGTTGTGTCTTTGAAAATTATGACATCCTGTGTTCACAAACTTATCTTGTGAAGACAAAAAAAAGAAAGAAATCAATTTGATCGATGCATCATGATTCTTTATCTAGCAATTACGAATCGACTCTCAAGTCGTCATAGACAAGGAGACAGCACCAAATATTGACCTGGTATACTTAATACAGGGTTTTTTGTCTTTTCATGGATGTATAAACACGAATGATTTTGAAAATGTTGTCTTGTAGACGTCAACATTTTTAAAAACGCAAAGAGAAAAACTTTCCTATTTTTGGGCTACATTGAGGTCATGTAAACAGTTCCAGAGTTTCCCCAGCAGCTCACCTCCTCCAGACTGGTCAGTTTGGCTTTGAGGTCTCGGATGGTGGAGTCGCTCTTGTATTTCTTGTCGATGAGCTCTCGGTTCGCCGTCTCCAGCTCAGAGACTTTGGTCTGGAGCTGTTGGGTGCTTCTGTGATGAGATGACTCCAGTTCCTGACGCAGCTGTTCATTCTGCTGCTGCAGACGACTTTGAGTCTGACAATACACCAAATTAAACACTTTTCATGTGGAATTAATTTATATAAAAATAAAAAATAAAATGACTAATATTAGTATCCATTTAGAGTGATCGGATCATAAGTGATGATTCTGTCTTCAGCCATTCCACAAGACGGTGGCGGTCATCAGCTTCTCAAAACCTTGAAAGCTTTTAACATTTACTTATGTACATTTCTGAAGCTATACTTTGTATTATTATCCTTTTTGCATCAAATTACAAACAACAACCAGTTCATGCTTAAGCAAGGTGGTTCTAATCCAAAAATCTATGGTTGGGACAGTAAAATAGACATTGTTCTCTCTTTTAGCTGCCGTTATCAGTCTCGCACTATTTTTTCCCTTTTTCAGAAAGTTAAGAAAATGCTTATCGTGAAATCTTTCGTTTTGTTATTTGAACAAATTAGAATTTAAAAAAGGTTCCCATTCACTGTGCTGTAAATTTACCCTATTATGACAACTTCAAATGCTGTGAAACCCAGAAATGTGAAAAGGATCTATTATCATAATTTCAAATGTGTCTTTCATGTTTCTTTGGCGATCCTCCTTTTTGATCAAGCTCTAAATACATTTTCACATGAACGAAATCACAAGTACCATTAAACAAACAAAAACCAAAGGACAGCCAAAGTTCTCCCTTAAATCTACAGTACTTATCAAATTCCCTGACTTCTAATTTACAGCAGTGCTTTTTCTATTTAAAACTGTTCATACAGATGAAAACGGTTCTTGTTCATGCTGCCGTTTTGTCTCCCTCCAAACCGTAAAGCAAAAAAAATGATTTGCAACTATTCATGCTCACTGGGCATGCCCATATATTGCCAGCACCTGTACTTGCCGTTTACAGGTTGTTTAATGTTCATATAATCAACGCTTAATGAATCAGGGAGTGAGACACAATAGTCCAGAGGACTATTGTAAAGCAAATTTATGGACAGCCAGGCCTACATTTATCAAAAGCTTGAATTTTTATTCATCCACACTGAAACAGATCACTAGCATTTAAATACTTCAGTGTTCTATTTAAATGTCTTTAGTCATTTTAAAATGCCCCATTCTTGCATGTTGTAGATGCTAAGAGAGTGATGTAGATGGCAGACATAACCATAACGAAAGTTTAAAAAAAAATGCATTAGTGTAAACGCCACCTACACATACTTTTGTTTGGTGCACTCTCACAACATGTTCGATAACAATTATGTTTTGTCAGTAGGTGCAACCGTTGTCATCAGTTCAAACGCATTTGACAATAAGAGCGATTACACTATCAGACTTATCAGTCCATCAATCAGACTGATGAATAAGTCTAATAAAGCAGGTGTAAAAAAAAGGTGTAAACACTGAAAGGTCCATATTAGCCTACACATGATTACCTCCAGAGCTTTTTCCCGCTCAGCGGTGAGGTCCTGCATGTGTCTGCTGGACAGAGAGGTTGTTTGAGACGTCCATTCAGACCGAAGTTTGTCCAGTTCTCGACTTTTCTCAGACAGAGTCTGGAGGATGAGAAAAACAAAACAAAACATAACTTCATGATAAACACAATAATTGAATAATAAAACAACAAAATACTGGTTAAATATTCGAAATAATTAGGATACTTTTATGCATTTTATACTCACAACATACAGTAAAAACTATAGTCAGTGAATATATTGAATTCGTTTTATTATGCCAATCTTATTTTTAATAAATGTATCCTTGTTAAATAAAAATAGATTTTTCTTTCAATTAAAAACAAAAAAATAAAGTTAGTGCATCACAGTTGTGCACTCATCACGTCTTGATGGGTGCTGGACGTATTAAATACTAGAGAGCATTTGATTGGTCAAATGATTTGAGGCGATGTTACAAAAAAAAAAAAAGATCAGCAATTCCATGCAAATGGCAACCTTGCCATGAAAAAAATTAAGTTTTCACCAAAATACTGAAACTGTTTCTGGGTTTTTTGGGTAAGCAAGTATTTAACAGTACTTTAAAAATAATCAAAAATGCATCAGTCAATGTTTTCAAACGATTATATTTGATTTACCAAAGTCACACAAGTGGCAATTTCAAATCTGTCACCACCATAACAGAGAGATGTCACATCCATAACAACACTCCTCTCTCATAAATGTGAAAATATTACATTTTTGTTTTATAGAGAGCCAACTCTTATCCTTTTGATTATCATGATTTCTTTCAGGTTGTGCAGTTTAATTCACAGAATTTCTACAAAGTATGTTGTACATTGTAAACCCACAGACTTTTTTGTCACATCCATAACGTATATTTATTTTCTTAATTTAAAGTACAAAATATGTGTACAAATTGATATTTTTTGCTCCTATAACTCTGTGGTCAGTTGTTCTGGAAAATATCAACAAAAGTTTCAACATGAGGTTAACATAGACTTTTTATGTTAATGTATGTTTAAGGTATCACTGTTCTGGAGTACAATAGGTCATAGATATTCTTAAGACTAACATATTGATGCTAAGACCTAAAATTCTCTTTATTTGATTATACAGGGACTTTAAAATGCTTTAAATTGCAATCATATTTCATACTTACTTGCTGTGCATAATTTAGCTGTCTTGTCAGATCCTCCTCAGTCTTTCTCAACTTCTGCTGCAACTGCTGCTTTTCCTCCTGAAAACACACATATTCAAAAAATGCAGTCATCAAAATTAGTAGAATTAAACCTATAACGGATTTCTGCTTCAGTCAGGCCCCACAATGCTACCTTAACAGAAGACAAACAGCTGGCCAGATACTTCTTAATATCAGTGTCAGATCCTGGCAGCAGCTTCAGAGAGAGATGTGTGAGGTGTTTAAATGCGTTTGTCTCCACAATATTGAGGTTTGAAGGACTGTGATCGAACGCTGATGAAGATGACGAGAGCTGTAAAAGAAACCTGAAGAAAAACATTTAAAGCACCAATATTAGTTTATCAAAACATTTAAAATTGCATTTAATTTAAATCACGCTCAGGACATGCAAGATGCCCCCCCCCCCCCCCCTAATTGTGGGCCTTAGTGATTCAGAATTTGGCTTAAAGGTATTTTAAACTTTTTAAAATTAAATAGTGACAAAGCTGAAGCCCTTCTCATTGGGACTAACAGTGTTTTGGATGAAGCTGATAACTTTATAATAAAATCAATAATAACACAAATCTTCCCTCTGTGCAGGTAAAGAGTTTGGGTGTCATCTTTGGACACAGCAATTCTCACCCGTGCATTAGTTACTTCACATCCTGATTACTGTAATGCACTTCTCTCTAGGCTTCCTTCTAAAATTCTCTATAAACTCCAACTGGGTCAGAAACAACCAGATTGTGTCATCTCTAGGACTTGTCACACCACTTCTCTATCAGCTTCACTGGCTTCCAGTAAAGTTTCGGATTGATTTTAAAACACTACTTCTCACTTTTAATCAACTTCATAATCTTCTCAATATCTCACTGAACTTCTCCATATTTATGCCCCTTCTCACACTCTTAGATCAGCCAACTCTTTTTCCGTGGTGCCACCTCACACTCGATTAAGCACAATTGGAGACAGATGTTTTAGCTCTGCGGCTCCTCGACTATGGAACTTGCTTCCCCTGGATCTAAGGAGCAGCGACAGTCTTCACACTTTTAAATCTCATCTTAAGACCCATCTTTTTAAGAAGGCTTTTTTAGACAATTTTTTGATCAAGTTATTTTATACTCACGATGTGTTTGTACCTGTAACGATTTATTAATTGTGTTAAATTGTTCCGTTATGGCTGTTGATGCTTGTTGTAAGATGACCTTGTGTGTCCAGAAAGGTGCCATTTACAAATAAAATGAATTATTATTATTATTAATTAAGGTAATATTATTGCAAATAAATTTCATTTTCTTGCACAGGCTGATCATTTATCTTCATATTTCCTAAATGTGCCATCAAAAGCCAGGGTTATTCATTTTTAACATAATTTTTTCTCGACTCTCAATTAGGGATGCAACAACTAACCAACTTTACTATTAACCGCGCTTTAATTTGTCACGGTTAATTAATCGTAATGGCTTTTCAACATTATGTTTTTACACATAAAAAAAAATCTTCTGTAAGTTATTTAAGTTATGCCAACTGTATGTTAGCTTATGGTGTGCACATATTGGGAGTGACTTGACATGCTCATGCTTTTCAGGCAAACCTAGCTGAAAGAATGCCGCGAGTGCATCACGAGTCACATGACAAAAAGTGACTGGTCAGCTTGGAAAATACACATTTCTAAAAAAAAAAAAAAAAAAAAAAAAAAAAAAAAAAATTCACTCCAAGACACTCAAAAAATGTGGAAAAATATTTTTAAAATATATATTTTTCCACATTTTTGGAATGCCTCGGACTGATTTTTGCTGTTTATTTTGATGAATCCCTTACCCAAAGAGCACAGACACAACCCCTGAGCACTTTTTGTTTGATTTTGGATAAGTTTATAATATACTTAAATCAAAAGATCCTTTCAGACAGAGGCTCAGCAGCCTTTGACTAAATTTGTTCTCTTTAAAAGGGAAATCCTTAGCTAATATAAATCTTAGATTTACATTAGAATAATAATACTTTTTTATCTTATTTTCATTTATTTATTTATTATTCTGTCATTTATTTTGAGTATACAATTACTTTTTTTAATTACACTTTTTTCATTTTTTTAATGAAACTTTTTTCTTTCTTTTTTTCATCTTCAAGTCTAAAGAGAGACATTGAATATTGTTTGTTTTTTTATTATTATTTTGTGCTGTATTATTTGGTAAGTGAGCAGCAATAAACAACACTTTAAAATATAAGTAGTTTTCATGTGATTTATTAAACTAGTAGTGTTTTAAAATGAATGAATGCATAATAATCCTAATCTCGATTGAAATTGTGATTATTCCTCAGACTGTAATCGTACGATCAACATTTATAATCGTTGCATCCCTGCTCTCGATGTGCTTTTAGCTTTGATTTTTGTGCAAAATAACAAAAAATTAACATTACAAAAAACATGTTAGTGTCCATTTTAACCATACAAGAGTAAAATTCTTAAACCGTTTATTGCTATTATTATTTTTAATATTAAGAAATGCTTAAATGACATTATTTGATTTGAAATTTAGAAGAAAAAAAGAAATGTTTTCAAACATGTACAGACAAATACAAATATAGAGTTTTCAAGGGGTCTCTTTATTTTTTCCCATAGATAGATAGATAGTTAGATAGATATTTATAAAATTTTATATAAGTTTCATTTCAAAAAGTTTATATTTTTGAAATAAACACCAAACAGTATTAATATTTGACTCAGTGAAGAACCAATAAGAAATTTTTGTCCTGAGGTTGACTAAATCATCAGTAATTATTGACTTTAGCCTGTCTATCACTTTAACAACTGCAACATCTGAACATTATTATGAATTATAACCTCTTACCGTGGGTTTTCTTTGTCCTGTTCGCAAATGCACTGTTCAAGTAAGTCTATAAATTTTTGTGGGAATGATGTGAAGTCTATTAAAAGCCCTTGTTGTACTTTTAAGCTGTGAAGAAGAGCAAATAAAAACGATTACACAGAATATAATCACATAGAAGCCTAATAGCAAAGTGTTGAAAATAAATATGGCTCATTGATGAAATGACACTTTTAATACCACAATACCTTTGAAAATCCTCCTCTGATATGATAAGGTTGTATAAAAAGTAAAGATCAGTATCATCAGTCAGCCGTACAACTAAATCCTGTTGATCAAAAATTTAAAAAAAGTTATAAGACCACATAAAACATGCTTAAAGGCATAAATATGGTTGTACACATGTTAATAACAAACCTTTCTGTGAACAGGGCTGGATGGTAACTGCAGTTCAATGCTAACGCGAATAACCGAACGCCTGTAGTAACAAAAACAACATATATAAACACATATAGACCCTTACAGACTTCGAAATGTTAATAATTACAGACAAAATAAAGCCAAAATTCATACCATAAATCAATTTAAGTTAGGCATTGTGTTCAAAAACAAGACAATCAACACAAACCTCTCATCGGTATCTTTACTCTTCACCAGCACCTGCAACCGCTTGTTAAAAAGTAATTCCGTCATTCCTAATTCATTCACAAAGCAACGATAATAATTAAAAATCGTGTAATCCTGTTTTAAAGATGTTATTTAGGTTGTTGAAAGACTCATTTGTTTTTCGCGCTTCACTCCCGCGTTTGTCCGTTTCCAACCGGAAGTGAGAAACACTTCAACCTAATCACGCGTATCATCGTATTTCAACATGTTTTTGTTTTTATAAATCGTATAATATAGATATAAACATTTAAAGCTGTATATACTGTGTAGTTGTGCGTGAATAAAGCTGATAAAATTGAAAACATTTGATATCAGAGTTCACCTGCGCGCGTTGTGATTGGCCGAGAGGTAGACGTCAAACGTGAACCCGGAGTGGGCGGGGCGTAGAGGAGTTTTGAACATGGCGGTGAGTAGCGCAAACGTTTCCACACCGTTCACATTATAAACACTTTTAAGGACAAACGGCGTTATAAACAAACATATAAGCACCTGAATATATCCTACACTCTTGATATTTATGTTGTTACACATTAGGGTGTGCTGGTAATTGTAAATGTGATGTGTGGTGTATTTTTGTGCTAAGCTACGAGTCTGATATTTATTATAGAGGCCTGGAGATTGTTATATAATATGTTTTTGGATCCTCAGGACAAAGACAAGAAAAAGAAGGAGAGTATTTTTGATTTGTCGAAATACATCGACAAACATATACGTGTAAAGTTTCAAGGAGGTCGCGAAGGTGAGGGAGTTGCTTTATGAAATTAATTATGAATTTAAATGTTTCACATTATGATATTTAAATGAATTGTGGTAAATTTGACACTAGTGTTTCCTATTTTCAGCAAGTGGCGTCTTAAAAGGCTTCGACCCGTTGTTGAATCTTGTGTTGGACGGCACCATTGAATACATGCGAGGTAAAATGTGCTAATGTAAACCGAATATGTACCAAATTATGTTCTGCATTAAATTTCTCACAGTATTAATGTTAGTGTGGTTTGTTTTGAACAAATTTTAGTGTAAATGCTGCAATTTAAATTATAAAATTAATCAATTTATTAAATTATAAATTATATAAAGCAACATACAAACTCTTGTGGGTTGACTGATATATAAATGCATCTAAATCAACCCAAAGAGGACATGATGCCATGATATTAAACATAAAAAGGCAGAATGCTCCAGCATAGCTATTTTTGTCAGCATAACAATGTTGCTCCTTACCGTTCAGTTCAGGCATCAGAAACAGTCTCAGCAGATCTTCATTTGGGTGTGTGTGAGCCAGAGGAAATTCTGGTGTTGGTTTGACACATTTAATATGGTTTTCTGAGAGAGTTTAAATGCACTTGAAGTTAAATAGTTCACCCTAAAAAAATGAATACTGTCATTGTTAGGCATGGGCTGGTATAAGATTCTGACGGTTGATAACCTTAGGTTGAAATATCACAGTTACACAATATCATGTTATTGTACATACTGCTCCAAAATATTTTATTTTTAAATGTCTGAGTAAAAAAAAAACTTTTCCCCCATTGAACATGGTTTATATTTTTTAACATTTAAAATATTTTGAAACTATAATGTCAGGCTAAATAATTTATTGTTTATTAATTGTTGAATGTCATTGACTTCTGCTGTCTTAATTAGTTTCAAAAGCACAGATTTCTTTTCAACTTGAAAAGGCATCTTTGGATATCTTTCTTTTCTTTGGATATAAAAAAAATCATCTACACTGTTCAGCTCTACAGCATGCTGGATGTTGGTTTATAAGAGATTTGTTTTTCAGATGTTTCCTGAATCATGGTAACTTGTGATGTGGATGGTCCTTTTCTATTGTTGCCCAAAAAAACTCAATAAAATAGTCGTAAAAAAAAAACTTACAAATACCTTGAGAACGGTATAACAGACAATTTTAACGTTTTTAAAACCTTGACTTTTCAAACCGCGATAAACCTTAAAACAGTTATTGTCCCACGCCTAGTCATTGAATACTCACCCTTTATATGTTTCAAACCTTTTTGAGTTTCTTTCTTCTGTTAAACACAAAAGAAGATATTTTGAAAAATGCTGAAATCTAGTAGTGAAACGGTTAGTTTTCGGATAAACTATAACTAAAAAAAAAACAACAACAGGTAAATAGAAAAACACAGATTGAGAAAGCTGAGACACATATTCCTGAATGTGATAATATGCACCGAAATGTGTCGGGGGACCTGAAAATGTAATGAACCCGACCCTCTGCTTCCTGTTTAGAGGTGGTGGTGTTGTCAAAGAGCTGAGTGTTTTACTTTAACGTCCTAGTTGTATGATTCCCTGGTGTTTGGATAATTTTAGCTTTAAATGCTGACAACACCACTGTCTCTAAAAAGAAAGCTGCCCCAAAGGTCCCCCAAAACATTTCTATGTGCATATTTTGGAAGTTGCATTCACGTTACTAAACTAATGACGATTAATTCTCAGTTTGTAAGTGTTTTTCTATTTGCATGTTTACACTGCATTTGTCCTCTCTAGGGCACCGTATTTAACTGATTAAAAAATGTGTGCATGCACATACAGCAAACAAGTGTATCTAAACATACAGAATTGTTTTGAAAATTTAAAGTCACAGAATCCACCGCGGTGACTGAAGCTCTGCACATGACTTTTGGTCAGCGGAGAAATTAAAATGGTCGTGCCCAACTGAGTCTGGTTCTCTCAAGGTTTTTTTTCTTCACTCCTATCAGGTGAAGTTTTTTTCCCCTCTCCGCTGTCGCCACTGGCTCGCATGGTTCAGGATTGGTAGAGCTACGCATTGATGAATTTGCTCTTCAGTGTTTGAACTCTCAGTAATGATTTTAAATCACACTGAACTGAGCTAAACTGAACTGAACTGAACTTAAACACTAAAATCTGAACTACACTGTTCCGGTTACTATGACCATTAATGTGAAGCTGCTTTGACACAATCTACATTGTAAAAGCGCTATACAAATAAAGCTGAATAAGCTGAATTGAATGTCATAAATGCAGCTGCTTTTCTGTCAAAAATCAGAGTATGAAAGCTTGACAAACTAGGACTATGTATAATTTTTTTGTTTGGTCCAAACAAACTGACTAAACTACAAGTGTTAACACATCCGAAAATACGAAAAAACCCCGCCCTAAGAGTAAAGACATCTGTGTTTGACTATTATCATTATATCAATGGTTTTATATGATTTCTGACCACATTTATTTCCCACACAGATCCTGATGACCAGTATAAACTGACCGAAGACACCAGGCAGCTGGGTCTGGTTGTTTGTCGAGGGACGTCTGTTGTGCTCATCTGTCCACAGGATGGGATGGAAGCTATCCCGAACCCTTTCATCCAGCAGCAGGATGGATAATATTCTCCCTGTGATCCTGTGCAAATGCCTGGTGAAGAATACAGAAGGTTTTTGTTAGCTCGGAAATCATGAAAAGTGTAACATTTTGTATTTACACACAGGATAAATGTTTGTTTAGGTTTTTTAGATAGGATTTTGCTTTGTGTTGAAATGTGTGTTTAATAAGGTTTTGATTTATGAGGCATGTTTTCTGTTCATGAAAAAGGTGTATAATGATGCCCTGGTTCTTTCTATGTTGTTTTATTGCTGACGTTAATAAACACCTGAAATTTACACATTAAGCAAAAACTAAGATTATACCTGTACCTCAAAGGGTGGACCCCACAGGTTTTTCTTTTAAGAAAGCTTTTGTACACAAATGGACATCGTCATTCAGCCAGCTTTCTGAGAACATTGTGTAATCTAGTATTTTGAAGGGCTTTGGTTACTGGACGCCTTGAGAAAACATTCTTGTTTATTTACATGGTGTCTTCTACTGTGTTTTACACTAAAAAAAAAATAAATCCCTAGATTAAAGACTGTTATGGACCCTTCTCTGGGACATGTTTTTCCTTCTGTCGTGACACCTTGGGATTATAAGGTTCAATTTGCACTCTGAGTGGTTTTGAGATATTACGCTTTTTGTGTTATGTTTAAAAGATTATTATGTTTTAGTTATTATAAATAGTTTTTTAAATTAAAACTCCCAAAATATACTCAACATCATTTAAAAAATACAATATATTTATAAAAATATAAGATATACTTATACGATAATAGTTATAACACCAAGCTTTTGTCATCTATCAACTTTATGCAAGGACACTGCAACGCATTTAATGTATCATCTAATTAAGTAAATAAGAAAAACCATGCAGCCTGGTTCACACCAATAACTATAATGCTAAATATTAGCATCCTCACAAACAGGCACTAATGTTTTGTTTCATTATAAGAACAAGCAACGTTTTTATTAAGTGATTCTAATTGGCCATTTTTTATCATTTTGTTTCTGGAAAAATAGTTCTGAAACTGATTTCAGAACTAAAACTGTGATTATTATATTATTTTTTATAATATATAGTCTTTGCTATCCTTTCATATTGAAATTTTAACTATACATCATATTGTCTTTGGTGTGGCCCTTAAATATATGATTATGCTAACTTCAATTATGATAATGTCACTATTAAACACCAGTTTGCAATATCTAGTAGCATGACTGACTGTTTTCAGACAGGTAACAAAATTACATTACAAATTGGCCACATGCGATCTTGAATATAAAATATGGACAGCCTTCTCTTATAGCTTGGAAACTAGAGTTTTCCCCGCTAAGAGCTTTTGTTTTGAAGACTATCAGATTGAGATTTGCCATTCATGCTTCTTAGCACAGCCACAAAGACCTGCTTGTCACCTTTCTGGATTTACTTTAGGTGGGAAACTAAATGTACATCAATATACTAGTGAGTTCCAGTAAAGTTTCCTCTCTGATATTTAACGCAGGTAATGGAGATTCTGCTGGTCCCTCCATTTGTGATGGCAGTTTTCTAGCAGTTATGAATGAAAGGCTCAGTGTGTCTTGCCTGGCTGGTGCTCTTTTGAACAGCAGGACTTTCCAGATTTTATCAGTGTGTGCACTGGCACCCAAGTCTGGGCTTTATTGGGTAACACAGTTCTAGTGGTTCAGGGTCTGTTAACTGATGGTTAACTTTAGAGGGGTCTGTAAGAGGAGCCGCTGTCTGAAGCCGTGCCAACTCTTAATACTATTCCAGGTCAGTAGAAGTCTGAGGAGAGGTGGTCTAGTGAGGCAAACTGCATTTGATTTTGCACAGCAGATTAAACCTCTGAGGTAAAAGAAGTATTGCTATATTTGGTCTATATTTGTTTTAATGTCAGCTAAAAAATAAATACAATTAAAAATATATGAAAATTAAAGGGATGTTAAATGTAATTTATTGAGAGATGGATGATAAAACTACATATATCCTAAATTGTTTTTAGCAAATATGGCAAATGGTAATTTCTGCACTTCTTAGGCTTTTAGCTCGGACCTGTCAAACTATTTACAGTTGGCTTGTGGATTTGTTTAGGATTATGTTCAAGCCCTCCCAAGAGCAACAGTCTAATGTTTCTTTAAATCCCTTAAAAGTGTTAAAACAACGTTTTGAGAAATAACCGAGGATTATGTTTTACGTGGACACTGGACGCGGAAGCACTGGCCAATCAGAGACGAGATTCTGCCTTCACCTGCGTAAAGCCACGCCCACATCCAAGCCACCGCATCAGTGCTGAATTCAATATTCGTCTGTAATCTTGTCACGCGGTTTATTTGGACGTAAAGAAAAGATGAACCAAAGCCCTAATGCTATCTAAAACGGTAAGTGAGTGACCGTCTAACCTATTTTTTGGTCCTAGAAATGTTTAAGAAGTTGATGGACAGCAATATTCATGTTTATAAGCTTTATATCGAGTTCCTCAGAGGAGTAATGTATGGCTGTACTGTAAATCAAGTAAATGTTTACTGTTGGATCGTTCAATACAATTTTGCGTGATTTACACAAATGTTCAGCAATCCAATTTTCATTCATCAGTTTTATAAACTGTTTTTACTTATTTTAATTACTATGTATGTTTGTAATGAAGTAATTTAATAAATAACATTGCTTTAAATGATAATATATAAAATATAAACAAAATATGATTGTTTGATGTTATTTTATTGCATATTATAGTTTTTTATTGATATTTAACAAGACCATACATAGTAGTGTATAACAGAATAAGAACAATTATAGATTGTCTTAGTTTTCTTATTGTCCCACTGTCCCCTCAAAATAAAATAATATGTATTAATTAAAAACAAACATATCCTCTGAAAAAGAACAAAAAAAAATGAGCAAGTTTACAAATAAAAGAGTAAAATATTACTAAGTATACTTTTACTAAAAGTAAAAAGATGAAAAGATCCCTTAAGGAGTCAATATTTCCTTGTTTTAATTGGAATATACTGTATTTCTTTTTATTAAACTGTGTTCTGAAAGCATTATTTGATACTCTGTTGCTGTTGGCAAGTATCATGTAAATGATAGTTTTGCACTTCAAATTCTAATTGCCATACATTGTTGCTACAGTATATTGTTTTCATTGACGTGCACACATGTAATCATAGATACGCTGTGGCTTTAGCATGCCTAAAGTGAAAAGAAACTAAATCTTCCCCTTATAAAGCAGCGGGCTTCATATATCTATGATAAAACATTGATAATAGTTTGTTTTGGCTTCTCGGAACCACTCCTAGTATTGTCTTTTTCTATGGCCTGTGAATAACACTTTGGCCCCGTTTACACTGCCAGTTGTGAACCAATTTCGAGTTTTTGCTCATATGTGACACAGATCGTAAGCACGAAAATAAAAAACCGCATACATTCGAATATTCATTAGCATCTTACGAGATAATTTTCACTCATGAATGCTTTTGATATCATAAAAAACTCAATTCTTGTTTTTACCTGGTCACATGTCTGTTATTCCTGCCTCTGTGTGTCCTTGTATTTTACAGGTTGGATCTCCAGGTTGTGTTGCAGGTCTTTGTCTAGACTGAAATGGAGAAGAAAGACTTGAATAAGTGGCCCGAGGGTGATCCACGGCCAGCTCACCTCTCTACCTGCAAATGTATGACAATAGCCGCTGCGCTAATTCTGTTCGTAGTTGGGGCGGCTGTGGGTTTCATGACAGGTAGGCTGATCTATTTATCTCTGCATGCCTTCTGAATTAAAATGTAATGATATTGTTGAACCAACTTTGATTTACTTGTTTAGCGTACTTAATTCAAGAGGAGCATTATTTTATGGACACGGTGGAATTGCAAGGACTCCGTTATAATGCAGACCTCCAAGATAAAACGTCCGGATTTTCACTAGTTTTGTCCGCAACTCTGAAAGAAAAGGTATGACTAGTTACTTGCACGAAAGTAATGCGTCGTGTTGCAGGTTGCAAACTGATATCTACTTGTGTTTTTATTGTTTTACAGATCAAGAACATCTTTAGCGCCTCTGGAGTGGCCAGTCATTTTATCGACTGCCAGATAGTGGCGTACGGGTAGGTATATGTTTTATAACTGTGTGAAGCAAGGTGGAGAATTGCGTTAATATGAATGTTGGTGTTTGATTGGACATTTGTGATATCTTTTAGGAATATCAACTCAAATGTGATGACCACAATTCGTTTAATCTTCCGGGTCTCTCAAATTCAGGGGTACAGCCAGAGTTTCGTTCAAGACATCCTACGCAATGGATTAAAGGCTCTTCTGAATGGGAAACACATTGTTGTTCCAGAATATGGGGAGATCAGTGGCATCGTCCTTCTCGGTATGCCATTTTTCTCAAAAAGAAAAAAATGTCAATGAATCCCTATGTGTAGTTTTTTACACGTATCTTTCGGGACACACCAAGCTGACGTCAAAATACTAGTTGACATACCAAATATAGGCAAGACGTGTATGTTTATACATTTATTAGATGTCTATTAGACACAAAATTGCTTAGTGGGATGAACATTTGTTTTTGCTGTCTTCAGTAGTTTGTTTGTTCACCATCAGATGTTAAAGAAATGCCTGGTTCAATGTTGACACCTTGTGGACTCGTTAGGTACTGCAAAAACAATTCAAAGCGTAATATATGTGCATGCTACGGTTCCAATTATAAATTGTGTATTGCGCATGGTATGCAGACACACTTGAACGCATAAAAATGTGGAAAAATACACTTTAGGCTTAATAGCATCATTTTGATCGTTCTTTGTTTCCTTATATCAGGAGCCAGTGGAAAGTCATTCTACGAGATCGGGAATGATATAAGTATGACAATTTTGATTATATATACAAAATTACTAAAGGTTTATTGAAAGCTCAGTGTGCTCAGATGCCTCTTTTGATGATCTCTTTTATGCAAGGTAAATGTCCTGATAGCACGTTTACCTGTGACAATGGCGAGTGCATCACAAAGCCAAATCCCGAATGTGACTACATAACGGACTGCACTGATGGTTCAGATGAAACCTTTTGCTGTAAGTTTCATTATATTCTATCATTAGCTATAACTCTAACACTTTAGCTTGCTATTAGTTATATATTTTATATATAATATATATATATATATATATATATATATATATATATATATATATATATATATATATATATATATATATATATATATATATAATGACACTGGATGACAAAACCAGTCCTTGAATTGTCATTAGAAAGCTGTATAAATAAGATTTCCATTGATGTACTGTTTGTTAAGATTGGACAATATTTGGTTGCGATACAACTATTGAAAATCTGGAATATGAGGGTTCAAGTTGATATATTTACAGTTGGAAATTGAGAAAAAGTCTTCACAGATGATGATCTTTACCTAATATTCTAATGATTTTTGGCATAAAATAAAGTAAGAAAATGCTAGTTTTGACTTTTACATTGTATATTTGGCTATTTCTACAAATTTACCAGTCCATCAATAGACTGGTTTTGTGGCCAGGGCTACCTTTTGACCTAAAATAAAGGGTGTGTTTACTGATTTGACAGTCTCAAAACAGTTTAAAAGTTTATGAGAGGAATGTTTTTAGTGGTAATTCTTAAGGCAAATCACAGTAACTCAAGTCTGGTATGCCTTTTTGCATGTTTTTGCCACTGATGAAATTTCAATGGTGAAAAAAAAAACAGTATAAAATAACATGATTAAAAAGTGCACCCAAGAGTGAAAATTAGGTCTTTAATAACTTGCCGTCATATCATTTTAAACCTTTGTTCATCTTCAAAGCACAAATTAAGATCTTTTAAAAGAAATTTTGGAAGGTCCCTAATTCCCCATAGCAAGCAATGTTTTAGCTTAATAACTAGTCTATTTTCAGACTGTTGTTAGACATTTATTAGATTACAGACAGCTCAGATTTGTTTTAGCCAATCTATCTATTCAATTCCTAGTTAACACACACACACAAATGTTTGCTGGGCAACCACACAAACCTAGCATAGTTTTGGCATGTGGTTCTCTCACATTTTCTTCAGGTAAATCTTTGATTGCTAACAGTTGTTTCAATGTAGCGTGTGGAACTCGTCCAGTCATGTCTAACCGTATTGTGGGAGGTGAAAACACCCGGCACGGGGAGTTCCCTTGGCAGGTCAGTCTCAGACTACGTGGCCGCCATACCTGTGGAGCATCCATCGTCAACAGCCGCTGGCTCGTCAGCGCCGCCCATTGTTTTGAAGTGTAAAGAAACATTTTTATAAAATCTTCATCAATCCATTACTGGGGCACTGATGTACAACTAAACAACTTTTCCTTATATACCAAAGAGAAAACAACCCAAAAGACTGGACAGCTCTTGTGGGTGCCAACCAAGTCAGCGGTGCGGAGGCTGAAGCCTTCATAGTAAACATCAAGTCCCTGGTTATGTCTCCAAAATACGACCCCATGACCACTGACAGTGATGTGACCGTACTGGAGCTGGAAACACCCTTGAAGTTCAGCCATTACGTTCAGCCAGTCTGTATACCATCATCCTCTCATGTTTTCACTCCTGGGCAGAACTGCATAGTATCTGGTTGGGGAGCTCTTAATCAGTACACAAGTGAGTATGTTTGATGCTGAAACATCTGACAATTTTTTTGGCTTCACTTTTACTCTCAGATAAACCTTAACTGAACCACACCTGGTCACTTTACATGTCAACCAGGCACTGTTTTCCTGTCCAAGGCTAAATTTATGCAATAATGATGTAGCTGGATACTGAAAAATTATTCCTTTGTATTTAGAAAAAGTATCACATCTAAAATTATTCATGTTTAGACAATTAAAAAAATGGCCAAAAACGCAGTATTAAACATGCCAGGCCTGATTTTCGCGCTGTCACCTTAGCTGCCTTTCAACTATCACATCTAAGAACAGTCAGGTACGGTTCTAGTTGTGTGTGTTCACATGAGTCTGGAATGATGTGCACAATAACAAACCATTCTCAGGCCAGATTTCTAGGCATGGTAGACAACTGTGCTGGATTATTAGAGCACCAGACGTTGCCAGTTTCTCCATAGTCAGATAGACAGAAGAGCAATATTTATTCATTTATTTTTTGTTATTCAACAAAGTAAGTCTCAAAAGCCGATTCATCCGATCATCATTACTCTTAAGGCCCGTGCACACCGGCTTGCTTTTTGCTAACATTTTCTGTCGTCGTTTAATGCCTCGTGACTAAATAAAGGGCGCCAATGTGATCGTGCACACCAACGCCAGCCGCAAAAGCGTAATTTAAAAAAAAAACGCCTCATGCACATTTTTTTGTTTTGACGCCCTGCGTCAAAACCTTCCTCTCCAATCAGATTGGCACTTTTGTTCACGTGCACGGAGCTGCTGAAGTTACAGTAAACAGCACTTGGAGGCGCTCAAGCGCAAAACTGTCATTGCGAGCGCACACTAAAAATGATGCCCAAAGGTGATATGAACTAGGAGCTGCTTATTGCTCTGGTGAACAATAATCATTTCTTCATCGCTAGAGCTGGAGCTGCTACTTGAACCATCCATGCTTGTTCGAGTCACCAGTAACTTTAACAACAAGCATGTGAACTTCCTCTCTTCCTCTTCTGAGTTACAAGCGGGGTGTCAGAAGCTTAAAGTTGTGTAGCGCCATCTAATGTCTCGTAAAACGCTGACAATAAACGCAAACAAAAATCGTCCCGGTCTGTATGAGCCTTTACGAAACCAAGGTAACAACTGACAGATTTGGATTATTACATTCCAAAGAGTTCCATTTTCAGCACCACAGTGGGAAACTAAATGATTTCTGTGCTGACTGAACTGGATCAGCACTGAATTTTATAGTTAAGCAAACAGAACAATTTGGTCTGACAGTGGAAAAGCAGCTATTGTTAGTAAACAATACCTGTAGGGAAGTGACAACATGTTGTCGGCGGCTCGACACTTGTGCCTATGTAGAATTTGTTGTGTCTATAAGAACAGTCTCCACTCAAAGCGCTTTACGCATTGGGGGAATCTCCTCATCTACCACCAATGCGCAGCATCCACCTGAATGACGCGACGGCAGCCATATTGCACCAGACTGCACACCACAAACCAGCTGATTGGTGGAGAGGAGACAGAGTGATGAAGCCAATTATAATATGGGAATGGTTAGGAGGCCATGATGGACAAAGGGCAGTTTGCAAATATTTGCCCAGGATGCCAGGGTTAAACCCCAACTCTTTTTCGAAGGGGATCCTGGGACCACAGAAAGTCGGGACCTTGGTTTAACGTCCGAAAGACGGTGCTCACTGAGCAGTATAGAGTGCCCTTCACTATACTGGGGCGTTAGGACCTACACAGATTGTAGGTTGAATGCTCCCTGCTGGCCTCACTAACACTACTTCCAGGAGCAACCTAGCTTTCCCATGTGGCCACCTATTCAGGTACTGACCAGGCACAGCCCTGCTTAACTTAAGTGGGCGACCATGTGAGAGTTGCAGAGAGCGAGCTGCCAGCTTTCATTCTTAATGTGAAGTAAATTCACACTTCGCTGATGAAGCGTTGAGCAGCTACAACTCTAACAATACCACATACTTCGCCATACTATGCATGCACATGACGGTCCTTTTCAAAGACGTTCATTTTCAAGTGTCACACAGGCACAACAGTAGCATTGTTCAAACAAAGAAAATTGCATTTTCAGTCCAAAAAACTGTAAATAAACAGACAAAATGTATTAAAAGTATTCTGTTTTGGCTAAAAATGTTGTAGTGCAGGGGTGTCCAAACTCATAGTTTATAGTTCATAGTCACAGTTTAGCTCTAACTTCCTTTAACATAATTGACTGGAAGTTTTAGTATACCTACAAAAAGAGCTTGATTAGCTGGTTCAGGCATGTATAATTGGGGTTGGAACTAAAATATGCAGGATACCAGCCCTCCAGGATTGAGTTTGGGCACCTCTGTTGTAGTGTAAACAGCCCCTAAATGGGTTCAACGTTTGCCTACTATGGACCAGTGTTTCCCAACCCTGTTCCTGAAGGCACACTAACAGTTCACAGTTTCACCCTCTTCCTAATCAAACACACCTGAATCAACTCAGCCGAACATTAGAAGAACCTCCAAGACCTGGGTTAGATAAGGAAGACAACCCAAATATGTACTGTTGGTGTGCCTCCAGGAACAAGGATGGGAAACACTGCTATAGATTACCTCTTTTAAGACCTGACCCTTTTGTGCCCGAGCAGCTGAAGTGCCTTCCACATTACAGAAGGCAATCGTGAAGATCATTGACTCGAAAGTCTGCAACAAGTCATCTGTATACAGAGGAGCGCTTACACAAAATATGATGTGTGCTGGTTTTCTTCAAGGCAAGGTGGACTCTTGTCAGGTAAGAGTCAGCTAAATTATTCGATTAAAGAGGTTTTCTTAATTGATTGTTCAATGGTTTTAAATGTGCCTTCAGGGAGACTCTGGAGGCCCTCTGGCATGTGAGGTGGCCGCTGGGCGCTATTTCCTAGCAGGAATAGTGAGCTGGGGAGTGGGATGTGCACAGATCAATAAGCCTGGGGTCTATTCCCGTGTCACCAAGCTCCGCAACTGGATTGTGAGCTACACCAAAACTGCACCAGCATTCCAGGAGAACCCCACTGTCCCTAGTGTCACGACCACCGAGGCTCACCATGTGAAAGCTGCAAATCCTTCCTCTGAGCTCACCACTAGTGACTACATCCCTGCTCTTGGGAACTGCAGTGTCAATTATAACTGTGGCAGAGGCATGTGCATCAGCAAGATAAACCCAGAGTGTGACAGAGTCATCGACTGCCCCAATGAAGCCGATGAGAAAAACTGTGGTAAATAATCCCTATTCAGTAATCTACCATGAGGGTGCCCAATGCTCCTCCTGGAGATCTTTCTGGAAAGTTTTGCTCCAGCCCTAATCAAATACACTGAAGTACTTAAAGCCGGGGTGTCTAAAATCAGAGTCGGTGTCCTGCAGAGTTTAGCTCCAACTTGCTTTAACACACCTTCCGGGATGTTTCTAGCAAGCTCAGTAAGAGCTTGATTACCTGGCTCAGGTGTTTCTGACTTGGGTAAGAGGTAAACTATGCAGGATAAAGATAGGGTACCCCTGACCTAAAGGGATTAGTTCACACCAAAAATTAATCCGTTATTAATTGCTCACCCTCACATTGTTCAAAACCCATTTGTTCACCTTGGGAACACAAATAAAGGTATTTTAGAAGAAATCTGAGAGGTCTGTCAACAGATTTCATTTAAAATATTTTAATTTTTGTGTTCTCAAGATGAACAAAGTATTTGGGAGGATTGGATTAACTTGAGAATGTGTAATTGATAACAGAATTTTAATTAGAGTTAAACCTTTAATACAATGTTTCGGATGTCCTGGACGCCTGCCTAGGGAGGTATTCCAGACATGTCCCACTGGGAGGAGGACTCAGGGAAGGCCCAGGACATGCTGAAGGGACTACGGGCGTACTCACACTATGCTATCCGAAGCGTGCCCAGACCCATTTCTCGGTTTGTTTGAGAAGTGTGAGTGCTCTGAATCGGGCTCAGGCACGGTTCCCTTGGCTGACCCTGGCCCAGTTGGAAGAGATGTGCCAAAGCACGGTTCACTTGGGCTCAGGTGCGGTATGCTTGTGTGTGAGTGCAAAGCGCGTCAGAGCCCAAAACAGAAAGCGAGATGTGAGTTTTAAGGGACTGTTTGATATGAGTTAATTAATCATTCGTACTGTTCAGTGAACGCAAACTGTCGTAGATTATTAAAGACGGAAACCCCTCACTGCACCACAGCTGCTCCTTCAGCAAACCTCTTAATTCCTTCAGCACGAGCCCTTTATGATAAAGTGGCTGATCTATTTGACGAAATATTTGACTGAAGAAATCTCCACTGTGCTGCGCAAAAGCACTTACTAATACTGAACAGCGCATCATCGATGACGTAAACGTGCCCAGGCTCGAATGTAATGTGAGTGCGAGCCATCGGGGGAGACGGGACAAGCGTGCTTTGGCCCGGTTCAAGGCAACTGTACATAGTGTGAGTACGTCCTAAGTCTCTCGGCTGGCCTGGGACCGCCACAGGATCCCCCCCAGGAGGAGCTGGAGGAAGTGTCTGGGGAGAGGGAAGTCTAGGGTTCTCTCCTAAGACTGCTCCCCCCAAGACCCCGCCCTGGACAAATCGGTTGAAAATGAATGAATGAACCCTTTAATAATTGAAAACAGGTTTGTTGGAGCAGCGTTTGAACAGAATCCTATGGAATCCAGGGTTGATTATAGGATTGTGCACATAAGTTGGTTTGCACCCGCATTAATAAAGCTTTGGTGAAGCAGCTTTTGCAGACACCTTCAGTGTTAGGGTAGATACAATATCTAACTTGACATGAAGGGTAGCCATTAAAGGTGGATTTCCAAATCAAAGGCTGGCAACAACCCAGAGTTCTTTTGTACAGTGTAAAATATCCGAAAGGGCATATTTTCAGTGTTGTGTCATCCAGTCAACAGCAATGTATCCTTTACAGCCTTAAGGTGAAAATGGCATCAACCCTGACTAAGGTGCATTGAAATAACTAGAGCAACAAGAATATCAGTCACCTGTTTTCTTTGCAGACTGTGGGAATCGTCCAGCAGTGACCCAGGAGAGGATTATTGGTGGTGTCACTGCCCGGCGAGGTGAATGGCCATGGGTGGGCAGTCTGCAGTACCAACGCATTCATCGCTGTGGAGCGACACTTATCCACTGCAAATGGCTCCTAACCGCCGCTCACTGCTTCAGAGGGTAGAACACCTATCCAGCATGATCTGTTTCAGGCATAGAAAAAAATGAACAGGGAATGTTTAGTTTTTTTTTGTGTGTTTTGTTAATAGTGACCTGAATCCTGCTGGTTACACGGTGAGTCTAGGCTCGGTCATTTGGTCTGGGTTGGGTGCTCTGGTGATCCCAGTGCAAAGGATCATCCCTCATCCTGCTTTCAATAGCAGCACCATGGACTTGGATGTGGCTCTGGTGGAAATTTCCATCCCTGCCCCCAAATCCTACACCATCCAGACTGTGTGTTTGCCTTCTCCCTGGCACAGCTTCATCAAATCTATGGAATGCTACATTATTGGATGGGGCGCTGTGAGGGAGGATGGTGAGTTTGGGATCTTTACATTGTTTATTTAACATGGAAAGACACCAAACGGCGCAGCTGCTGTCTGGTTCATGCTGACTTTAAAGTTTGGGAACTACCTTGTCTGTTTAAAAAGAGGGCTGTGATTAGACTCAAATGAACCTCAATACATTTGATGGTTGATGATACTGATTATGGGTATGTCGGGACAAATGAATTAGGATTTGGTTAAGTGTAACTTAACCTAAAATACATAGGCAACTGCTTCTGTTTGGCAAGATCCAATCTGACACATCTGTTGATCCCACATAGGTATGATTACAAATTTGCTGCAAAAAGCACAGGTCGGTGTTATTGATCAGTCGGACTGCCAGCGGGCTTATGGTGCTGAACTTACCGACAACATGATGTGTGCTGGCTATATGGAAGGACAAAGAGACACATGTTTGGTGAGTTTGTGCTTATAGCATCCAATATACGTTTATGAATGCCATCATAGGGAAAAAAGGGTTGTGCATACTTTCCTTCATGTAGGAGGAATCCAGTCTGATCTCACGAGAAAACGTAAGTATTTTGCGTTTTGTCAGTTTTGTGGCTAATTTGTATGAATTCGTATGAGTTCAGTCGTTTGAAAATGTAGGATTTTAAAAAGGAGGCGTGGCACCCAACCCGACCCCTAACCCCAACTGTCATTGGTTGATGAGCAAATCGTACTAAATTGTACAAATTCATGCGAATTAGCCACTAAATCAAAAAGTTACGAATTGCCGTGAGATTGCGTTGGAGGAATCTGAATCACTTTTTCTGAAGCACGGCTGCACTTACCTGATACTTAATGCTCCAAGACTTTTTTTCTTACCTTAAAAATCCAGTGACTCTTAAGCTGATTACGCAACACAGCCCAATGTAATTCAACCATATCCTTCAGGTTACAGTAGATGTCTTTAAATGTCATACCTTGCTTCCAGTGAGCGTAGTGGTCTTCTCTTCTTCTGCAGGGAGATTCAGGGGGTCCCCTAGTGTGCCGTGAAACCTTGGGACGGTGGTTCCTGGCTGGGGTGACCAGTTGGGGTCATGGCTGTGGTCGAATTGGCTTCCCAGGAGTTTACATGCGGGCAACAGCGGTCAGAGAATGGATATCTATACACCTCCCTTTTTAAATGTGGACACTGGAAATGTCGATCTTTCTTATAGGTAACAATTGAGGTCTCTCTCAACTGAAGAAATCGCATGAAGCTCAAATGGATTACTTTACCGACAAGTCCACACAGTACTGTCAAAATATTTATTTATTGATATGCATTTTGAGGGAAAAGTCAGTAGAGATGCACTCCTTCTGAAGCGTGCAAATTCTATGTGGGGCTGAGTGCAACTAACACGGCTGTGTGTAAAATAAGAGTAATTGAAAATCAGTTTTTATTGAGGTGGAGGACAAAACGAGACGACATTTGGTTTTTCTTGATAAAAATTAAATTTCTAGAGATAAAGAGTCCTATAAGTGACACTGGACCACATAACCAGTCTTAAGTGGCATGGGTATTTTTGTTGATAATAGCCAAAATCTATTAAATTATTGATTTTTCTTTCATGCCAAAATCCACTAGTATATTGATTGAAGATCATGTTCCATGAAGATATGTAAATTTCCGACTGTAAATATTACAAACCTCAGTTTCTGATTAGTAACATACATCGCTAAGCACTTCATTTTGACAACTTTAAAGTGATTTTGAACTCTCAGATTTGTAGTTGCATCTCAACCACACATTGTGATACACCAGGGATGCCTAAAACTCGATCCTGGAGGGCCGTTGTCCTGCATATTTTAGTTCCAACCCCAATTTGACACACCTGAACCAGCTTATCAAGATCTTTCTAGGTATACTGGAACAGTGTTTCTCAACCACGTTCCTGGAAGATCACCAGCTCTGCACATTTCCATGTCTCCTCAACCAAACACTCTAGACTCAGATCACCAGCACATCAGCAGAGACTGACAGACCTGTAATGGGTATGACAGACTAAGGAGACGTCCAAAACATGAAGTGTTGGTGGTCCTCCAGGAACGTGGTTGAGAAACACTGTACTAGAAACATCCAGACAGGTGTGTAGTAGAAAGCAGGAGCTAAACTATACAAAGTACCGGCCCACTAGGATCAAGTTTGGGCACCTGTATTACACTGACAAAGGATAAACCAAACAAAAGCTTATTTATTCAGCTTTCATATGATGTATAAATATCAATTACCAAAACCTGATCCTGGAGGGCCACTGTCCTGAATATTTCAGTTCCAACCTCAATTAGACACCTGAACCAGCTAATCAAGTTAGTTCAAAGTAAACTAGAACATTGTATCTCAACCATGTTCCTAGATAACCACCAGCTTTGTACATTCACCATGTCTCCTTAACCAAACACACCCGATTCAGATCATCAGCTCATTAGCAGAGACTGAAAGACCTGTAATAGGTGTGACAGACTAAGGAGACATCCAAAACATGAAGTGTTGGTGGTCCTCCAGGAACGTGGTTGAGAAACACTGTACTAGAAACTTCCAGACAGGCGTGTTAAAAAAAGTGGGAACTAAACTATACAAGGCACCGGCCTTCTAGGATCGAGTGCGGGCACCTGTCTTACACTGACAAAGGATAAACCAAACAAAAGCTCATTTATTCAGCTTTCATATGATGTATAAATATCAATTTCCAAAACTCCATCCAGGAGGGCCAGTGTTCTTCATATTTTTGTTCCAACCTCAATTAGACACCTGAACCAGCTAATCAAGCTCTTTCTAGGTATACTAGCTCAGTGTTTCTCAACCATGTTTCTGGAAGACCACCAGCTCTGCACATTTTCCATGTCTCCTTAACCAAACACACCTAATTCTGATCATCAGCTCATTAGCAGAGACTGAAAGGCCTGTAATGGGTGTGACAAAGGAGACATCGAAAACATGCAGTGCTGGTGGTCCTCCAGGAACGGGGTTGAGAAACACACCTCCACATAGGCATGTCAAAGGAAGTGGGAGCTTAAATATGCACGGCACCGGCCATCCAGGACCGAGTTTGGGCACCTGTCTTACACTGACAAAGGACACACCAAACAAAAGCTTATTTATTCAGCTTTCATTATACGTATAAATATCAATTTCCAAAAGCTGACTGGTTTGGAGTACTCCTCGGTCACCTTTCTCATTTCAACTGCAGAGCTTCAAAACAAATTACGATAAATATGAACAAACTGTTGCTCAGCAATGACAGCACTTGACCAGACCGTAGAAGAAGACAGTTCGTGGAAATATATGCAATAGCGCCCCACGTGGAACACTCTGAGAAGGCAACAGAAGTTTATGTACAGAGTGTTTCGGTTCAAATATCAACAAATGGTGCTAAATCTGTTAACCTTGATTTTGTTTTTCAATGCAACAAAAACATCAATAAACAAATGGACTGATTTGATGGTATTTATTTGCATTCCGTAAAAACAACTTGGTGGCGTCGCATCTGTCTGGACTTGTCTTGGTGGAGTTGCGTCTCACAACTTAAAGGAAACTGGGAACTTTGACATGACTGTACACAAAGGAGATGACTTTTACAAAGGTTTGTGGTTTAAACAACCCTCCTACTGTACTGACAAAAAAAGACACTCCCGGGTCGACAATTGTAGTTTGTACTTTAGAGGTAAGTAAGAAGCACTGTTTGGTCGCTCGTGGTGAATAAGCGACAATTTTTGCAACAAAGACGCTTCTGAAATCTGCCCCTGTGGGAGAAAAACTAGGTTTGTGGAATAGAGGTGGTAAAGTGAGCCCTTCCCTCAGGGAACGCAGTAACATCCACCTAACGACAAAAGACAGACAGATGACACGTCGAATTTTGATTGGCTGCTTGATGAATGGATAACAACATACGGGGGAGGAGTCAGAATTTTTGCATCGCATTTAAACTGAACAGAAAATCAAAACCCTATCTCGTCTTTAATCCCAAAAATAATAATAATTTTTGACTGATTAAACAGATATTCTATATATAAGAACAAAACATCCTGAAAAATGTCCATGTAGTCTAAATCCAACCACCTGCTTCCTTCTGTTGCTGTTGTTGCACGGTAAGAGAGCCGAGTCTACACAACACTTGTTGTACATTTAGAGACCAGACATCTCTACCTGAGGACTCAGGTGATATCGAGGTAGCACCAGATTCCATCTGCACATCAAATGTGTGCCCGTTCCCTCTGTAATCTGGAGTTGTAAGCCCGTGAGACCGTGTTCCATGCATCCATATAGCGGTCCATGCACATGGCGATACATTTCTAAATAAAGCAAAAGTGTTGGCTTAGATGTTATTTTCTCAAATACATGGCATGTAATGTAATATGAAGAAACGTTTTTACCTGTTCGGAGTTGTCCAGTGTGCTTCCTGGCTTGCCAATACACTTTTTGAAGCATTTATCCGTCATTCTCTGCAATTCAAGACAAAAAAGTTGTTAAAATATTCTATGCAACATTTGGTATTTTTGTGAAAGTCATATCTAACGTCATACAGAAAAAACAACAACAATAAGGGCTTTCAAAAACATTTTTACTTTGGAAACACTGACAAAAAACAGCAAGTGGCAACAAATAAGCTCCTTATCATGTCAGGATTTTATTACAATTAAATCTTCCCTAGTTGAAAGCAAATTATTTGCTTAGTGTAATAAATAATTTCCTCATTTTATTAAATATCTGCCATGTTGTAAAAGTTCTTTCCCTGGTTGCAGGTAAAGAAACTATTTAGCAAATCATCATAGCCATTATTTATTATCTTAGGAAAAAACTCCCCCCAAAAAAATCTTTGTTGATTGCTCAGATTTAGCTAAAAGCAGTGACCGAATTTACTTAAATTACTTGTTTTTGCTGGATTTAATGAAAATGAGTAAACTATTCAGTAATTAGAGTTTTCTAATAAGAGTTAAAACCCGTTTAAACTGAGGGGAAAACTAGGGATGCTCTGATCAATCGGCCGGAGATCGGTATCCACCAATAATCACATTTTATGACTTGATCGGTATTCGCAAATCATATCAACCGATCGCAAATGTTCGTTTACGGGTTTACAAGCAGAGGAAGATCCATTGTAACTTCTTATGAATCAAATATGCACTCCAAACTTTTTCCTGATTGAGACACGTTGAATTCTTCTCTCGTTTATAAATTGCTTTGTTAGTGATTTTTATTATCAATTTTTTTTTATATCATATCTATTATTTACTGTAAAGCTGCTTCTGACCATGATGTGTCCACACACTAAATAGTTATAAGAGACGTGTTTGACAAATTATATGCAACATTCTTCAGTTATTCTCTTAGGAAAGGAGAGATCTCCACTTAAGTATCGTACTTGGAGGTAAAATGTGCTGTATGCAATTATATAAAGCTTGAAGCATCAGAATCGGTACACGTTATTGGCCAATAACCATGACGAGGAATCAGGACTTAGTGTTACCTCCAAAAATCCTGATCCGAGCATCCCTAGGGAAAACTATATATTTGAGGGAACACATGTTTAAATTGTGACAACATTTTTATCTAAAACAAGTAAACAAATAAGTAGAATTAAGACTACAATTCAACACTTTTTTTTAGTATGTAACTTCAGTATATAAAACGGTTTCAATAAACTTTCAAGGGGAAAAAAAAGTACAACACTGTATATTAAAATATAGATGGTACTGAAATGTAAGCCCTAAATAGTACATTTATTTTGCAATGCACTCATGTCAAAGTTTATTTTTTTCGCACTCCTTTATGCTAATGTCTCAGGACTTCAGTTTTATCTACTGCATTGGGTAAATGAAGGAAAAAGTGGTGAAACTACCTTCTCTACAAACTACTGTTTATGACGACCTTTGTGGGCACAGATGAACAAAATTGTTGACCTTTATACATTTACAGAGCTTTATAAGAGAAAAGGGGAGTTTAGAGTTTATTGCCATATTAGCTTCAATGGCAGTTTAATGGCAAAAATAATAAAAATCAGTATATAACGAACACATTTCCACAACAATAAAGACATCAACAAAGACAGATAAAATACATCAAATTAAAAACAGCTTTTAAGGTTAACATTTTATCTAAAACAAGTAAACAAGCGAGTAAAATTAAGACTACAATTCAACAGACTTCTTTTTAGTATGTTACTTAAGTAGTATATAAAACTGTTTCAATAAACTTTCAAGGGAAAAAAAGTACTACATTGTATATTAAAATATACATGGCACTAAAAGGTACTTCCAAAAAATACTGCCATCGTTTTGTCAGACATGTACCTTGGTTGTCTTCGACTTCAAATATTACCTCAGTAGGCTAATATTGTTACTTGTTCAATAACACAACTTACCATAACCATTACTGTGATCATAAATCTTTTAAATACCATAGTATATGTCTAAAATACTATATCATTTTTGTACATGTATACCAGGAGTGTCCAAACTCGGTCAAGGAGGGTCCTGCTTGGTTTAGCTCCAACACACCAGCCTGGACAATTCTAGTGTATCTAGTAAGAGCTTGATTAGCTGGTTCAGGTGTGTTTGATTAGGGTTGGAGCTGAACTCTCCAGGACCGGGTTTGGACATCCCTGATGTATACAGTGGTGATACATGATATAACATTACTGTACTTTCCCTATGCCATGACGCTTCATGATACTCCAAAGTATCTCAAATGGATTAAACATCTACATTTGAATGAATATATTAAACTATTTAAAGCGCTATCGACCACATCCAGATGCACTGACTATAACACTGTTTAACTTGTTCAGAGGTTAAAGTCACTAACCTGCAGCAGCTCTTGCGCGTTTGCAACAGCAATCTGAACTTTGACCTGCTCCATAATTGTGCCAGTGTCCATTTTACCAGACGAGGAGCCCGAGGAGAAATCAGAGCCGAATCCTTCCATTTTACACACCTAAATATCTAAAAGCACTAACACACCGGATTAAAGACTGAGTCGCTTCTGTACATGTGATAATTTTGCCCTTGACATGAACCGGAAGCTGTGCGGAAAACATCCGGAAGGCTGCCTTCTGGGAAATGTGGTTTTCCTTGCAGCAAAACTACATAACGCGTTATATACACAAGTGTTGATTTTTAAAAACAACACACACACACACACACACACACACACACACACACACACACACACACACACACACACACACACACACAAAGAGAAATTAATATAGATGGCGTCATAAAAATAAGTTTTAACCACAAATGTATTACTATGAATTCTGATGTAACAATTTAATTCTGATGAATAATTTATCTCTCAGCTGATTTAACACAAAAACTTACAATATGATTTTTCAAAATGTATATATTTGTTGTTATTTTAAAGGTTTGCAATCTTTTGGTTCAAATTAAACGGCTAAAGTTTTTATTGCAATATGTGTTCTGTCCAAGAGGTGGCAGTATATTGCAATAGATACAAAGAATTGGCATAGAGCTGGGGTGCCCAAACTTTTTTTTGTGAGGGCCAAAATCCAAACTTAAAGCTAGTAGGCCAAAGGTAATTATAGTTACTTTAGGTGATTTCCTAATTTATTTAATAATATTTGAAAATAACTCAAAAACATTGCTTTATATTAACTAATACAATATTTTGTAAATTTTTTTTTGCCTTGATTTGCTCGCTGATGTCTTCTGCATATTCCTCTATTATAACGAGTGACAGTATTTACGTTTTTAAAACTCAGATTCATTTATATTTAATTGAAACATTTAATTTTATAAAGCTTTTTGTAGTGAAGTAGAACAAACAAACATGCTGGAAAAGAAGTGTGGCTGTTACCACAGAAATA